GTATGTAACCATTCCATAATTAGTCTTCTAAATCAATAGAATAATCATTCCTGAAAATGTAGGAATAATTTTCATGAGAGACTGGGAATCAAAGTTCAAAGAAATCAACCATATGAGGCGTAGAGAGTATTCTTATTTTATATGTTCCAACTTGTACAACTAGTGGCCATTGCTTTCAACCAAACGAGGCATTGGAAGTCTCTTCATTATTATTACTTTGGGGGGAGGAGGGGTTTGCATCAGGGACCACGAATAGAAACTAAACGCTTTTCTTCGATAAATTTCTCTAAATTTTGTTGGCTTTTGACGAAAGCAAACTGAAGTTTTTAAAGTTCAAATCTTGTGATATGATCCCTTATAAGACCATCCACAGGATGATGAGTACGTAATTTCAAATGTTAGATATGAATATATACTTGGGTATCGGATTAAAACGACCGTTTTTATAGTTTTATGGATTATGACTGGCAATACTAAAAAGCTGTAGGGATACCAATGAATATAGTCTCCTTGTTCAACAATACTTGTAGATATTTAGAGATGTTATATATGTTTTCTTTTTACTCTGGTAAAGATTAATCTATTTAGATTGTTTGTAAGCACTAGAAGTATCCTTTTATATATGTTCATGGGGAGGGCAACCATACTACATGCCGATTTCCTTGCTAAATTATCTCATACCGCTAATAGCAACTTTTTTGTATCATTAATCAACCTCCACATCTGTGTCTAGAGACAGAAGATGCGATGAGGGATATTTGATATCAATTTGTTGGCGGTAGCACAGAAATTCAATGGTTCGAGTCACGTTCAACTCACAAGGATACTGTCCTTAAAAGATACTCCTCTAGTCCTTAATATATGACCCAATTCTTGAGTTGGTTTTGGTCCTAAATATAAGACTCATTTATCATATTTATCAGTTTTTTTTTTCTAAATTACCCCTATAGATATTCCCTCAACTATAATTAAGTAGAAGGGGAAGAGTGACTATTAAGAAAGATGATTATGGTGTTTTAGGAAAAATATGTCACTTTTCTTATAATTAACTAATTTACCTAACTTTCTTAATATAATCGAATTAGTTAAATGGGTCTTATATTAAGGATTGGAGGAGTATTCCACAACTCCTCTACAACTCAAGAAGCGGTACTCCTGAGGATTAAACAAATCAATTCTTGCAGGAAAGCAAAGTGATAAAATAGCAGGAAAGCAAAGTGATAAAATAGCATAAGGAAAGTAACACAAGAGGGCAAGAGCACAAGAGAAGGAGGGAGATAATAGTGTAGTGCACATCACGCTCCTCATGCCTTTTTATAGACGCGAATAGACACAAAAACCAGAAAACACGCCCGTCGATGCTGCTGAACAGACATGACAAAAACCATGCTCATTTTTGTTGGAGGCAGAACATCTCGAATGTTGTCACACCCAACATCTGACAGCAAGTGAGCTTCACAGGACGCGTCCAGTAGGCCACAAAATTAAAACGGCAACGTTTTCAACTTTAAGAACCCAAAAAATAAGGTTTTTTAGGTAAGAGCTTTAAATGATAATTTTGTAAAATATTTAAAACTGATTTTTGAAAAAAAAACCTGTTACCACATCTAATTCACTCGCAAGAAGGAGAAAATCCCTAGTTTTCAATTGTATTTCCTTTTCGGTAGCCTGTTACCCACCTCCTTCTTGGCCCATTTACTCTTCCATGAGAGCTTGAGTTCATATATGCACCTGATCTTTTTTCACCCATCCGGTATGGATTTTATTTGACACCCATTCTTTACTTTTCTCAACATAATTGAGTAATGTTATCCTACTTTTCATTTAAAAAAAAAAAGAAGCATTCTTTTGGTGGCATGAGAAACTATTGTCCTTATAAGTACCAGGACCAAAATTATGCCAAAGTTTACTCCATATATATGAGTTGGATTAGGGTATTTAGATAGAAACCAAATCATAATTTTAAAAATAATTGTACAATACATGAAATAAATATGCAAAAAGAGTTTTATCTAGATTTGTGTGAAGAAACTTTTTAAAAGTACTTCAATTGTCAAACATCATATGAGAAGGGTTATATTAAATAAAGTTGGGTGTAATAAATAATATATAATAAATTAAAAGAAAAGATTTAGAAACTCGATCGAGCATAGTATTAAGATGTGACGTTGATTCCTTACTTATTGCTCAATTTTCGTCCCCTCCTCCTATTTTGGGGTTGAAAGCTTGCGCAGGCATTTGAAACCCAAAAACTATGCACGTTGTCCAATTTGCTCTCTTCCTTGTTTTCATGTTTTTCTCCTCCTTCCCAACTCATTAGATAAAGGACGGAGCAGCCGAAGATGAACTCCTTTCATCATCCCCTGCCGCTGGATTAGGAGGGAGTGGGTGATCGAGAGTAGAAAAGCTAATTAATGTGTTATAATTCAACCAAATCAATCAAATGAACACGAGACTCATCTTCGCTAGAGACAAGAAAAACATTCCAGTTCTTATCCAATGCATGTCGATCACTTTTTTGTTTTTGTGAACAAAATGGTGTGCAAGTGGGCACACGGCTACGGCATACTGTCGGCCCAAAAAAGTTGGCTCCATTCCCCTCCCCCAACCTCAAACGCGGGAGATGATCGGCTTAGCATAATTTGGATGACACTCCAAATCATGGTTTGGGGAATAAATCAGCCAAACACCCACTCAAAAATCAAAACCATGATTTTGGAAAAAGCAAAATTTTTTTGCTTTTGGAGAAAAAATGGAGAGTGTGAGAGCCTATAGGATATGTATTTTGTTATTTTTTTTATAAACATATTTAATCTTATATTTTATAAATATATATACATATTAATTAATTATTAATTATATTATCTTATGTATTATTAATTATGTTAATAAAAAATATATTATTAACAATTTTATTCCTTCAAATTAAAATATATCATAAAATCTATTTTTTCTGTAATTATCATATTAATTTATGTCTTTTTTTTAGTAATTTGTATATATAAAAAGTGCTTCTGATAACAACTATCCAAACATTCTTACTTCTCAAAATCACTTTTTCATAAAATCTATTCTTTCCAAAATCTATTCTTCTCAGAATCTATTCTCCAAACCATGGTTTGGTTTCATCCAAACACCCCCTTATTTGATTAGTTTAGTCCCATGATAATACTCATCAATCATTAATATAAGACCTATTTAATTAATCTGATTAGATTAAAAAAGTTATATAGTTTAGTTAATTATAAAAATATAACATTTTTTTCACCACAACACCATAATCATCTTCCTTAATATCCTCATTCTTTCTTCTACTTGATTATGGTTAAGGGAGTATCTATAAAGATAATTTAAGAAAAATTGATAAATATGAGAAATATGTCTTATATATAGGACCAAAGTCAACTCAACAATTAGGTCTTATATTAAGGATTGGGGAAGTACTATGTAGTAACTAATTTATAAATTTAAGTAAATTAAGGATGTTAATTAAATTAGTTAATATGATATGTTTTTTCTAAAATATTCTAGGTATCTTTTTTAATTTTCTCCTTCCCTCTCTCACTTAATTATTATTGGGGAAATATCAATAGGGTTAATCTGAAAAAATTGATAAATATGTAAAATATCTCTTTTATATAAGACCAACATTAACTCCCCAATTAGGTTTTATATTAATGATAGGAGGAGCAGCTTTTTTTCCTTTTTTGGTTTCTTGTTGGGCATAAGTATTTTTTTGTTTGTAAGTAATCTCATTTGAAATATTATTAGACATTAAATATAGACTCTTTCTAATTGTTAGCAACCACTAGGTTCTATTTGAATGAGTAAAATAGAGGAAAAATCTTAATGAGCCTAATTTGAAAAATTGGAGAAATTGGGTTAAAACTTTAAGTTAATTTTGCTTTTTTTTGTTTGTTTAATCTTATATATTCTTTTTATTAAAATTTTATAACCCCACTTCTGTAGTTTTTTAAATCAAGCTAGTTCAAATTTTTCTTTCCCTCTCTTTCCTTCCTCCAATTCGCTCATACCAAACACAAGGGAAAACAAAAGTACTGTAGGCCTTGCAAGTTAGGATAACCATTAAATCACGTGCTCTGGGCATGGGTGATTGGACTTATGCATCCAGCACAAGACAAGAGTTATTGGGCTAATGGCCTTCTTTTCCTTTTCCACAAAGAAATGTTACCTAATGGCCCAACACTACACACGGACAATCTATGTGAGCCGATATTAGCATGTGGATGGAAAATGTCAAGTCTCCAAGGAGCAAGTGACTCCTTCGATTTAATTAAAGTCTCATGTTTCAATTTATGGTAAAATATCATGTTAAAGAGAATTATCTTTTATTTGAGCATAATATTGTTTGAAAATAAATCACCTAGTAATATCAAATAACAAATAATTGCAAGAAAAATGCCACTTCTGATTTAAGTTAAAATCATTAGATGGAATGACATTTAATCCTAAAAGATAGAATTAATAACAGTTGATTATTGAAAAATTTTCTAATAAAATGACTAATATATATCAATTTAAATACTTTAGAGTTATACTAAAAATTTAAACACTTTATTTATAATGGAGACTCTTAAATTTACAGTTATTTAAATTATTATTAGCAATTTGTTTTGTTAAAAAATTTGTCAAGAAGCTAAATATCATTAATTTTTTCCCCGGATATTGCTCCTATTATTAATCTATTAATTAATCAGCGTAGTTTGTTGAAAAAGTAAAGGTGTGCCGCGTGGCAAAGGGCTGATGAGCTGGAATATATTCCTAACCGCAACTTCACTTCACTCTCCAAAATCAGAATTTTTTAATTCCCCGCTAATCATGAACTGCCGACTCGGTTCACTAATTCTGTCCCCGGCTTCAGAACCCAGAAAGCAAAAGCAACATATAAAAAGAAACAAGCCATGGATTAAAGGAAGCAAAAGCCAACAAAAGCAACGCTTGCACATATATTCTTTCTTTCTTTATTGGTTCTTTTACACTTCGCTTTACTTGCTCCTTCCTCTGCCTATGATTCAGAGCGCATTTAATTTTCTGTTCTCTCCTCTCTCTCATGGATTTTCTTCTTCATCCTCCCAACCCCATTTCCAAAATGATATCTTTCATCACTCAGCTCACTCTCTTGTCATTCCTCACCTTCGCAACAGCTCAGTCCAGCACTTGCAGAACCTCTTGTGGTGGAATTCCCATAAACTACCCTTTCGGCATCGACGATGGATGTGGAAGCCCATATTACAGACACATTCTGGTTTGCTCCGATTCAGGGAAACTCGAGCTCAGAACCCCATCCGGGAGATACCCTGTTCGTAACTTGAGCTATTCTGACCCACACATTCTGGTTTCGGATCCCCTCATGTGGAGCTGTGAAGATGGTGAGCATTTTCGACCCACTAGGCCATTTAGCCTAGACACAAGCACCCATTTCAAGCTCTCCCCACAAAACGAATACTTATTCTTCAATTGCAGTGAAGATCACGTGATCATGGAACCAAAGCCTATATTCTGTGAGCATTTCCCTGAGCATTGTGATTCTTCCTGTGATAGTGCTAGCTATCTTTGTAGGCACCTTCCTGGGTGTGCTTTTGCTTTAACTGGGAGTTCTTGCTGTTCTTACTACCCAAAAGCCACTGAATCTTTGAGGTTGATGCTTAAGTATTGTACCAGTTATGCTAGTGTGTACTGGAGAAACGTGGGTGCTCCTCAACCGTATGATCAAGTGCCTGAGTATGGAATCAGAGTTGATTTTGACATACCAGTGACCACAAGATGCCTTCAGTGTCAGGATCCCTTGAAAGGAGGTGGAACTTGTGGGTTTGATACACAGAAACAGAATTTCTTGTGCCTGTGTAAAGATGGAAATTCCACTACCCATTGCAAAGGTACCTCAAACCAGTTCCCCTGTTTTCTTAATTTCTGAGTATATTGTTTAGTTAGCGCACACCTCAATTTAAGCATGATCAAGAAATTTACCCAAACAAAAAACTTGCCAAGAGAACGACCAATTATTTATGCTGGATATTGGAAGTTCTATAACGCTGATTGGGTGGATTGTGGTGTGGCAGATCATGATATTGCAAGGCACAATAAGATGGTTCATGTGGTTGCAGGTAAGAGAATTGAACTGACAATGGATGGGAATTTTATTAGAGGATATCAGTCTCATTTGTGGTTTTGTGTTTTGAAATTGTGGATTCAGGGACAGTTAGTGCGGTTTCAGCTGCAGGGGCAATTGGAGTTGGAGCTGGAATTTGGTACTTGAAGAAAGCGAGAGCCAAAGCACCAGTCACTTGTGGAGTTCAAAGCAACGAGAATAGGCTTTTCTGAATATTGACCAGCCAAACGCTGAGGATCATACACATATACCTTCTTTCATTTCTAGTTTTTTAATTGAGCTATATATATATGTATTTATACAACACTTGGTGGGTAGAGGCCATTATAATGCTTCTTATGGAGTTTCTTCCCAATTTTCCCCACTTACTGATTGGCATCTTTGTGATTCTTATGGTGATGATTGTAGAAAAGACTCTGTCGAACAATATCTTCACACTTATTTATATAAACAATTCTTCACATTCTCGATCGAGAAAAACATATCACAACTCACAAAACCTAGCCTTCTGCAAAGCAGGTTATAGGGTCGTCTTATACAAAATCGTCCTCCGAACTATCAGAAACTGCCCCCACTCAATTTTATGCATATGTATATATATTGGCGGCGCATTAGAAATAGTATTATCGAATTTTAGGAGCAATCAATGCTCATCATACATATCGTACCAAGGAAAAAGACATCACATTGTAGGGGCAGTTGAACCCTCTAATAATAATATGGAGGTCTGTCCCTACCTCTAAGAAGCCAATCATCGATTGAACATCGAAGAACTAGCAAAAGATAAGAGGAGAACAAAAAGGAGACGCCAACAGGCCAAATCAACAAACTTTCCCAACAATACAACTCAGGGGACCAGCATGAATGGTTAATGCAGGCACCAAGGACGCTGAAGCAGCAACAAAAGCTTGAGCACTTGAATAGTAAGGGGCACAAGTTCCATACCCAGATGGAACAAAATAGGCTCCGTTCACAAATGCATCCTTATAAGTCCTCCATTTCCAATTCTTCCAGTCTTTCTTCGCTATTCTCTTGGTAACCTGTAATACAATATCATCCTTGTAATCCTCTGCATTATGATAGAGCTATATTTGTGGACTATACTGGTTCATCACACAAGAATATTCGGCATAACACAATGAATTCAGTTTTAAGTTCCTATCTAACTCCTTTATACGTACAAACAAGTATAGCTAGTGGGTTTCTTGCTACACACACACACACACACACACCTGTTTCCCACTGGGGTTACTTGGAGCTATATAGTAGTTCCCTTCACTCAGAATGGTTGGTTCAGCACTGCCACCGATGGCATACATCTTCCAGCCATCATATCTGTTGTTGACCACATGGGCGTACCCAAATCTTACCCTTCACAAGTTCATCAGTACGTGAATATAAACTCTTTTCAACTCTCTCAATCCTGATCAAGAGGCTAAAATTCACTTGGATATACATAGAAATCACTAATTACCTTGGCATTCTTTCATATAGGCCGCTGGCAAAATGGTTGAAAGCTATTGTCACTTTCATTATCTTATCTTCTTTGTATTGGTCGCTGTGTCCTAACAGCATCACCTGCAGAAACATTAGTTCAGTGAACAGCACCTTTTTGAAGATATCAATGAGAGGAGAAGAAATTGAGGCATATATATACTTTATCGTGCTGGGTGAAGTAATTGTTAGAAATGGTGATGGAAGTTGAGGAGTGAATTATATCAATGAGACCGTCGGCACTACGAGCAAGGAAGCAATGGTCAACCCAAACATTTGAGGAACCAAATATGCTAATGGCGTCTCCATCTGAACCTAGACGATGTCCTACATGATCACTACTGCTTCTTACCATACCAGATTTTCCTGCTCGTGCAAAACAACCCAACTAGCGATTAACTCAAGAATAAATGCTCAGATTAAGAACTCCCAATTATCTGCTTGTATTTTAATTTGATTCTTATAATTTATAAAGCTTCAATTATTAGAATTTGTTGAATATACACAATACGTATGCCGATGAAAAAGTTTATGATAAAGCGAAAATTAACTCACCTACATGAAATGTAATGCAATTTATATTAATCGGATTTATTACATTACTCAAAATGCATGTTCAAAGTACTAAACAATTGTCCACATCAGGAGTCTCATAACAAAAGTTTATCACACTAAATCAAGTATTTTCACAACATTAAATTAATCAAGAAAAATTGATCAATTAAATTAAACTGTGTCAGGAAAAAGGATAAATTATCATTAATAAAATTCTTGCATTACCTGGTTTACAATCGTGGATGCTAATCCCATGTATAATGACGTGATTAACACCTTGAATCGTAATGCAAGGTCCATAAGCAATCTCCACGTTGGCTCCTCTACCATCAATGGTCTTATAGCTATTCACTATAAGCTCATTCTTGAGTCTAATAACCATGTCCTTGGCGAATATTATCCAAAGAGGCCGTGTTTGGACCACACCATAACGAAGTGTCCCTGGTTTAGGGTTCACAGGGTCATCGGAGGCATCAGTGACCTTATATATAGCTCCATACTTACCTCCAATGGCATCTTTGCCAAACCCAACAGCACAATCAGCTAGGGCTTGGCGATACGATGCCCAGTTTGAGTTGGCTCTCCAGCAAGAGTCTATGGTGTTGAGGACGAGGTTCTTAGTAGTTTGGGGAATACTGTAGGGATATGAGCTTGAAGCTATAAGTGGTAGGAAAGATATTGCTGGAAGGAAGAAGAATAGTTGTGTGGAGGTGGCCATGCTTGTGAGTTTGTGGTTTCATATGGAATATTAGATGAATTTATAGGTGATTTTGAGAGGTTTTGGTCCACTCAAATTTGGGTTTGACTTCAGAAAATGTTTTGTTTATTTGTTAAATTAGAATTTTGAACTCAAACGTGGTTGCACGAGCTCGAGTTATTGGTTGACTTAGCTTAATGTTGGTTATTGTTAATTAATTATGTTTACACAGCCATCTCTGGCTAGAAGCACAGAGCTATTTAGACTACAAATTCGGATCAATTCTCCTATACAAAAGATGTAACTATGAATACTTGTTGATTGGAAAAGTATCTTAACATGTATAATTTTCATCTATAGATGGAATACTATATACATAGGAAGAATGGCAGTTGATTTCAGAGATCGATTTAATGACATTTTAATTCTTAGCAAAATTTTCTGAGAAAATGAATTATAGATATCAATTCAAACAATTACAAATTCAGAAATCTCAATTGTTATAAGGCATTCAAATTTTAAATGTAACTCAGTTTACAACTGACATTTCTACTTGCAATCGTCTAAATCGATAATTACAACTTATTTTTGGAAAACTTTTCAGGACCTAGCTATTATTAATCGATCTTTACTTTGGGACTCAAATTTCATTTTCCGTATTATAAGTATAAACATGGGTGCTTGATTAGTATTAGGCCTATTTCCTAACAACGGAACTAAAATTTTAAAGATTCTATAAAAAGAATTTAATAGAAGTGAGAATGGAAGGGAGAAGAAATAGGCCTATCATAGAATGAGATTTTTAAGACCAAAAGTAGTCTTGGTATCTGAAAAAAATTAAATGAAATGTGGTTATAAACTTTGTTTACAAGGAAGCAAAAGTACCTTGCAACCTAAAAGAAGGTTACAGACTTCGATGTTTTTGTATTTGAATAATGGCATTAAAGCTTTAAAATAACAAAGGACCTTAACAGGCCTGTTTATTGTTGTTCGAAGCTCCATCAACTCAATATTTAAATATTCTTTTATTTGACTTCTTTTATAATTGATAAAGGTCTTGTACAGAATCATTGGTCTCTATACTACTTGGATTGTTTCTAAGTTCTAACATCACATATGAAAATTTATAATAAATAATAACGTTTAGTTGCCTAAGACTAATTTTAGCCGCGAAAGCGAGGTGGTTGTGAGTATAGTAGCCCAAATTTCTTGAGATAATAGAAAAGAAAGAATGAAATATTTGCTAATGTCAACATTAACGTATCTGATACTGTAAAGAAATGGCATTACAATAATATACGTTTGTAAATATCATGGACGGCATCTAGATGTATTTTTCAAAATAAACTAACAATTTAGGCCGCCAATAACTTTAATTTATAAACAATAAGCTCTCATCCTAAGTTTTTATAATGTTCAAATCAATCCCTGAAAAAACATTTATTTTAAATTTACGGATAAATCATGAGTTGGGCTTTCTTTCATTATTTCCCGTCATTTTTCAATTCTATGCTCTTTTAATTAGATGTAGCTCTAACTTCAAATCAGGGCCGAGAAATTCGTACAAATGCATATCATTTATAATAAATAGTATCATTCAAAACTTATACACAGTATATAGTATATGCCTGGTTCTTCATATCTTCTGCGTGTAATACGCCAACAACTATGTTCAGTAAAAGACATCTTAAATTTGTTTGATTTTAAATTGCATGTAAATATAAGCAAAAGGAATATAAGCACGAATTTAATATCTTAAAAGCGATATTCTAATTAAGTTGATAAAACATACGAGTATCCCATTGCATGAGCATTTTGCTCTCACCAATAAGTGTCTGTAAATATCTTCGAGGAGTTTATCTTCAAGAGTACTATCACAAATCAACTAAGCTCTCTGCAAATATGGTAAATATATAGCCGTGGAATACATCTTTCTCACAATTTTAGTACATGACTCCCCCCCCCCCAAAAAAAAACACAATTAATTTCATGAACAAGCTTTGGCAAGGACACAATGAAGAGGACCAGCGTTGAGAGTTAAGCGAGGGACCAAGAAGGCAGGAGAAGCCACAAAAGATTGTGAAGCAGAATAATAAGGGGCACAACTTCCATATCCTGATGGAACAAAATATGCTCCATTCATGAATTTATCCTTGTATGTCCTCCATTTCCACTTATTCCAGTTCTTATCATTTGTTTCCCTCTTCGTAACCTGTTTGAATCAATAATTAATTGACCATGTGAGTTAAGTAAATACTACTTCCAGTCCTTAATATAAGACCAAGTTGACTAATTTGGAGAGATTAAGAAAATTAGCTAAGTTAGTTATTTGTTATAAATAGGTGTAATCTTTTCTAGAATACCATTACTAATCATGTATATTAGCTAGAATTATTATTTGATAAAACATTTAACATATGCAACTACTGCAAGGATTACTTTGGAAAAAAAATAAATAAATATGAAAGACAAAGTAGATTGGAGTCTTATATTTAGAATCAAATTGAAAGTCAAACAAGCTCTTTATAGTAAACTATAATTAATGTTTGAATCTGTTAGTTTCTGAATAATATTATATATATTGACCTGTTTTGCAGCAGCGTTGTTTGGAGCTATGAAGTAGTTTCCCTCACTTAAAATGGTAGGGTCGGCACTGCCTCCAATGGCGTACTGGATCCACTCTTCATATTGGTTGTTCACTACATGCGCATACCCAAATCTCACCCTGCCAAATTAAAGCCTCTCATCACAATTAATAATGCATCCCAAAACTAACAAAAATGAAGTAACAAGCCACTCTCTTACGTACGTACCTTGGCATTCTCTCTATGAGGCCGCTGGCAAAACGATTGAAGGCCACTGTCACTTTCATTATTCTATCCGCTGTATATTCATCACTGTGGCCTAGCAGCATCACCTGCAGGAGACATTCATCGTCATGCACCTGGCCGGCTATATATAGCTTAATCATGATTTGTAAACACATTAAGTGGCCTGGGTTTATCTCCTCTAGTTCCATTCATAGGATTCTACCGATATGAGACCCGTCACACAAGTTTGATTTTAGGCTAAGTTTGGAATGCCATCACTAGCTCTTCCATTTAAGGACAGAGTGATGAGTAAGTTTATGGTTTCATTAAACAAGCATGATGAAATTTGTTGTACTTACTTTGTCATGCTGGGTTAAGTAATTGTTAGAGATAGTGATAGAAGTTGAGGCATGAATAACATCAACGAGGCCATCTGTGCAACGAGCCAAGAAGCAATGATCGATCCAAATATTCGAAGAAGCAAATATGGTAATGCCATCTCCATCTGATCCTCCCCGATGCCCCACATGCTCTTCACTACTCCTAACCATCCCGGCTTTTCCTGTAAATATATATATATATATATATATATATGTGCACCCTGACATAAATACTCAATCTCAAGATCTTATATCAGATTATCAAATAAAAGAAGGACGCGTTACCTGGTTTACAATCGTGGATGCTAATCCCATGTATAATGACGTGATTAACACCTTGAATCGTAATGCAAGGTCCATAAGCAATCTCCATCTTGGCTCCTCTGCCATCAATGGTCTTATAGCTATTCACTATTAGCTCGTTCTTGAGTCTAATAACCATGTCTCTGGTGAATATTATCCAAAGAGGCCGAGTTTGGATCACACCATAACGAAGTGTCCCTGGTTTAGGATTCACAGGGTCATCGGAGGCATCAGTGACCTCATAGATTGCCCCAAACTTACCTCCCATTGCATCTTTGCCAAACCCAACAGCACAATCAGCTAGGGCTTGCCGATTTGATGCCCAGTTTGAGTTGGCTCTCCAGCAAGAGTCTATGGCGTTGAGGATAAGGTTCTTAGTAGTTTGGGAAATAAAGCTTGAATTGAGCTCGGGAGTATTGAGATAATTGTCTGTTGAATCTGCGTACAAGGTTGTGGTCAAGTATGGAAGAAGAAAGCATGAAAGTAGCAGGATTCTTGGGGTTAAGGTGGCCATTGATTGATGGTGACGATGGTGATTGGTGAGTTTAATTAATTTTGAGACAACTAGGAGACGACGGGAGTTGATTAAATAGGAAATAGTTGAGCCGTAGGTGGGGCACACGACTCACGAGTTGTGTTCGTTGAGGTTTTGCCTGTACAAAGGACGTGGTTGCACGAGCTTTGGTCGGTTCATTACTTAATGATAATTTCTTATAGGGTTAAACAGAAAGAAATTATAAAGTTAAAAACACATTAATGAAATATATAATCCCTTAGATGATATTAAAACCAACACGATAACAAGGTCATTATGTAGTATATGTCAAAATCTTACAATATTTGCAGAGCCCTGATTAGATGTGAACACGAACACAGTAATATTTAGTTTCTTTGGAGTTTTTTCCCCTTGACAAAGAAGATTTTTGAGTTTAAAGATTTTGTCTTACCAAAGTTCATGTCGTCTTATCCTTTGGTTTTTAGTTCTTGTTATAAAAGAATATATAACTTCCTGATTGCACTTCCTCATCAATCAAAATAGCTTTATATATATATATATATATATATATTCAATTCAATTACACATAAAATGCTTCCCTTCCGTGACAATAATTCGACGAACAAGAAAAAGAAAAAGAAAAGTGGGAAAGAAATCACGAAGCCCAAATGAATCCATTGTATTCAAGTATAAAGCCAATTTACATGCACTCACAAAGCTCTTTTATTAGTCATAATAAGCTAACAAATTTAGATTGACGTCTAAATAACTAGACAACACTGGACCCTATTACAACAACAACAAATACTGATTCTCACAAATTTTCTCATACTCGTAGTAGCTAACTAAACCGGTAAAATTCCATTTTGAATTTTCAAAAATAATTTCAGTAATGAAATCATCCTTAGAAAAGTCCAAACAGAATTTTAATGTGACCACATACGTTTAGGTTTAATTAATTTAGGCGTAGCTGCATATCCCATAGACGCAGGAATCTCCATTGTTGCACTTATTGCCACATGTTCCACAGTGATTATTGCTGACCATTGGGTTCACACACTTTCCTCTGCAACATATCTGCGAGTACTTACACTTCCTACCACATCTGCCACAGTTGATTCTGTCGCTTGACACATTCACACATTTCTTCTTGCAGCAGTCCGGCCCCTTGCTACCCGGCACATGGCAAACCCTCGGATATTTGTCACAAGTCACCGCCGGGTGGTGGCGGCCATGGTGGTGCCAGTGGTGGTGGTGATGGCGGAGAAGTCGACTTGATGATTCTTGTTGGAATACTGGTGTAGTTTCTGAAAGAGCAATGGCCAAAGCTGCCACCAGCAAGGCCAGATGGAAGATTGCCTTAAGGGACATCATATTATTACCTGCGTTAAGAGTTGATATAGAGAACTGTAATACCAAATATTAATGGTTTTGATGGATGATGTAGATGTAGCAGGGCTATGGTGCGTGTATATATATAAGAGGAGGGGGGTGGGTGGGGAAGAGAAATGAAAATATATGAAGCAGAGGTTAAGGTCAATACATGAGGGAATGATATTAATTCAAACTTCAAAGGTCAAATAAGTGGTTAAATAACCAAGTTAGGCTTGGTTGAAATTAGAAAACTCCTAATTCCGTGGAAATGTGAATAGCTGCGAATAGGTAAACAACAAATTTGGGTCATTCACATAGCTTTATTATATTTAATAACACAATTTGAATTATACTACATTATTAATTTAGATCATTTAAGAACTCTTCATAAATATGTTCCGTGTACCTTTTTTTTTTTTTAAATCCAATTTTTATTTCGTAGTTTTTGGTATTTAGTCGCATATATATAATATTTAAAATGCTCAATATATATGATTGTTCAAGAACGATCCTGTTATAGTGTCCTAAATAGAAACGTTATAGCCAATTTACAGGCGCATCATCAATATCTTTTCTTAGTGAAAAGTACTCCATTTTTAGAAGTCGGATTAGGCATAGTGTGTGGGGGAATGAAGAAGAAGCAAAATTTGGTTGTATTCATATTTTGAATGTTCAAAAGTTTTAAGTAAATATGTTGTTTTTCAATTTCATAAGCCAAAAGGAGTCAGTTGCAGAAGCACTGATCTTTAATTTCCCTTTGTATTCTTTTTATGTAATTTGACCATTTTAATTATTTATTCTAACGATTATTGACACTTAGACTCTAATTAACTGAAGAAGTGGTCAATACTTGAGAATTCTAATTTCTCATGGAAGAAATAAATTATCCCATACCAGAAGCGAAAGTCCCCTGCCCTTGTGTTCCCTGTGCAGAAGACTAGAAGACAAGCAGATGTGTTTGTTTGGGCTTTTCATGGGCCCGACTTTTCTTGGGCTTACAGCACCTTAGCTTAGGGGAATTTGGGCCTCCACCAATGTCTTTAGACTTCCATCATGAAAACCGTTTCGCCCTCCACAAAAATTCTTTACGTATTATATGCAAAGAATTTTATCGGAAAAATGGCAAATAAAAACCTCTCAATATGTAAAATTATAATTTGAGATCCTAAATTTGAAAAACAACAAATAAGGACTGGGTCTCACTTTTGCAAATATGAAATGTGGATAAAATGTCTGAAATGCCCATCAACCAAATTGTGATTTGGTCTACTGAAGTTGTCATTCGCTAAAGTAAAAAATAACAAAGAATCTTATATCCGGAAAACTATTTTACTGGTACTTATATTATTTTTTAAAATTTTTAATTTGGTAAATACTTTTTTTTTCTTCTCCTGATTAAATTCTTTAATTTTGTTCTATTGATATCTTTAACCCCCTATAGTCTCAAAAGCGAAGTTACAAGGACTAATAATACCAACGGACTAAAATTAAAGGATTTAATTAAGGAAAAAATGGTATAGATATAAAATTAAAAGTTGATGAAAACATAGGTGTCTTCAAAATATAGGTCATTTAAGGTACAATCCGCTTCAACATGCACCCTACACAAATTCAACTTCTTCAGCAAGCACAAAGCCTTCTTCACAGCGATTATAAGTATTTGCAAAATGGTTTTCTACAGATCTAAACTTCATTTTGATTTTAATCAGTTTAAATTATGGAAGAGGAATGTTTAATCAATCATCAATTATTATTAATTATAAGTGGAAGATAAGAATGAGGTCAATGAAGTTGAACTTTGCAAAATGAATATACTTGGCATTTGGTAACAGGCTGGGTACATCCCATTAAAACTATATGGGTTAATTAATCTGTAAGTCCTTGTAATTTCAACCAATTTTGAATTAGATCCTTATAGTTTTTTTTTTTTATCAGGTCCTTATACTTTCATTTGTTTTTAATTAAGTCCTTGCATTTATTTTTCTTTTTATTAAGTCCTTATAATTTCACTAAATTTTTAATCAGGTCCATCTAGTTTTAATTTTTATTTATTAATTAAATATAAAATTAATTAAATAAATTAATACTGAAATAAAATATTAATAATTAAATTAAATTAAAAATTATATAATAAAAGATAAGTAATATAATTAATTAATTCAGAAATTTTTTTAGAACAATTAATTTTTTTTGCAAAAAAATTATTATAATAATTTATTATTTTTAGAATATTATTGTTTATAAACTAATATTAAATAATAAATACTATTTTATGTTTATAGAATAGTACTATTAGAATTTATAAAATAAAGAATAAAAAATTTAAGGACTTAATTAAAAATAAGGTGAACTTATAAGGACTTAATAAAAAGAAAAATAAATGCAAGGACTTAATTAAAAATAGGTAAAAGTATAAGGACCTGATAAAAAGAAAAAAAAATTATAGGGACCTAATTCAAAATTAGTTGAAACTATAAGGACTTTTAGATTAATTATCCCAAACTATATTTAACAATCTAATCCATTTCCTTGTATGATTATGGATGAGCGAAAATTTTTTCCTTTATAAAATAAATGATAAAATTTAATATATATCGCGTGGTCAAGTGACATGTACGAAAATAAAGCAGCTATTATTACCTGGTGAATATGATTGATATACACATTATCTCTGATTCTTAATATAAGAGCTAATCGACTAATTTAAGTATAATAAGAAAATTAATTAACATACTTATTTATAATAAATAGGTACTATCTTTTATAAAATATCTTTACCAATCAAATGTATTGGATAAATATGAAAGACATTTGGGACCAAAATAAAAAACTAAACAAATTCTTGTACTAAAAATAGGAGTAGTATAACGACGCCGAGTGGCATGCAAATTAGTGTCAAGTAGTTGGGGGAAAAGTCTCAAGTAAATGGATCAGTCTTTTGTTGAAGTCCGATGAAACCAGAAAACCGTTATAAAGCCATCGATCGTCGGTCATGTTTTTTTTTTTTTGACCGAAATCGTCGGTCATGTTTGAAAAGCCTTTTATTTTGACATTTTGAAACGAAAGAAGGATGCAGCGTCGAATTATTCGAATATTGTATTCTTAAAGTGTAAAGTTTCTGCGTATGAAAACATATGAAGATACTAAACAAATTTACACAAACTTCTATTATTTTATGTTTGTCATATGGCGAATTAAAGTGTTCAATCATTAGGCCGTGACCCACTATTGACAGGAAAAACATGGTGAACAAGCATATCTGTACGGTTGAATTCGATCGTTTTTGACTCCATATTGAGAAAACTGAAAATATTTCAAAAACTAACATGCCTTTTTCTTTGTTTTTTTTTTTTTACGCTGAATAAGCTGAACCATTTTTTGCATCTTGTGGGGCCCAACTCTTTTTTTTAATTTTTATTTTTCATTAGACTAAGGCTTTTGAAACTGCTATTTGGCAGTGTTTGGATTACTAAATAATCACTTTGAAACAGCACGTTTTTGTAAATCGAGGTAAACTCTTTTACATATTTATTTTATATACTGTAAACACATTTTTAAAACCACAATTTTGTTTATATTCAAACACCTCTTAGTCTTTTAAAAGGACAAAACTTGGCATTTTGCTATGGTGTATATATATGGATTTATTCTTGTTTTATATATTATGAACATACACACGCGACAAACACCACAACTGAACCAAGATAAGAAACAAATAAAGACCATAAGTCAGTGTAGTAATACATTTCAGACACAATACATGCCAAGAACTTTGCTGGAGAACTCAATTTCTTTTTCGCATTGTTAATTATAGTATTAATGTCATTAATTAATATTTAAAATGCCATGCATCAATTTTATGATAATTCATATCCTAACCAAGTTAGCATTGATTTTAACAAAATAAATACGTTAAGACATTTACCACTCACTTATTAATGAGTTATATTCCCCAAAAAAAGGTTTAATTCATAGAAGGAAAAGCAATTGGAGAAAGAATAGGCTACACAGCAAAAATATAAACAAACAATACTGACTTGTTCATTCATTCGTAATCATGCTTACATTTGCACGCCCATATATCTCCAGTACAACACATTTAAATTAAAAAAGAACAAATAAAATAAACATTATTAATGTATTGGCAGCACTCATAACCAAGCTAACAGGTCCATGGCTGCCCCTTTATTATAATTAGCATAACCATCATCATCATCATTAATTATTATACATTCTTAACGAAATTAATATAAATGAATCTGTGTTTAAGCATAGCTGCACATCCCGTACAAGCAAGAGCTGGTTTTATCACACTTGTTACCACATTTGCCACAGTGCTTCTCGTTAGTCATAGGGTTCACACACTTTCCTTGGCAGCATATCTTCTGGTGGCCACATTTCTTCCCACATCTGCCACAGTTGGATGAATCTATCTCCAGATTCACACACTTGTTGTTGCAGCAATCTGGGCCTGCGCTTCCTTCTACAAGACAAACCTTAGGGTTTATCTTGCAGTTCGTTATACCAGCTAGGAAGCGACTTGTGAGCCCACGTCCAAAGTTGAATTGTTGTTCTGCTTTGGAAACAGTAATGGCGGAAGCTGCAAGTATGGTGAAGAGAAGGAACAGAATATTCATGGACTTGTTCATGTTTGGGAGTTTGGGGAAGGCTTGAATAGAGAAGAAGGTGATTTAGGAATTATCGTGGTTTTGGATGAGACGGAAGAAGGAAAGTAGATGGATTTATAAAGGAGGAACAAGTGAAGGAATCATGGAGATTTCAGATTTGGCTACTTTATACTTCATTTATTTTATTCATTTTCAGATAGCGTGGTCCAATCTATGAGTTCTAAGTTCAAGTCGAGTTAGGCTTACCGCAATGAAATTGCATGAGTGGGAAAAAAACTGAAGTATGCGTGATGATTACTAAAATTATATTGCCCAAAAACTTCGTACGTACGTTGAAAATCTCGTTTGAATGTATAGTTACGTTGCTTCCCATGAAAAGAAGAAAAGAATATGCAGTTAATATTCAATATAAAATAGGAAAAATTGCAAACAAAGACAGTGAAATTTGGAAAAATCTCATATCAAGAATCGTGACAACGCTTTAACTGATTTTGTCAAGAACTAATTTGCAAATGGCAATATATATTTTTTGAGAATTCTTGATTTTGGATTTTGCAATTTTCACGGTTTTTTTTGTTGTAATTTTATCTATAAGATATTAAATTTATAGCAAGAATACTATTCACAATTCAATAATTTATTCTTAAGCTTTTTATCGAATTAATGAAAGATCGGTCTTGTTAGAGAGCAAAATGAGAAGAGTAAAACCAGCAAACGTTAGCTTTTATCTTTTATTTATTGTGTATATTATATTTTGACGGTTTTTAAAAGTCTAAGTAGCTCCCTGCAATGCAGCGGACAAGTTATTGTATTTTTATTCAATTAATTGGACACCTCATCTATTTTTTCGTCAATATAAATATATGTTGTAAAATCTATTAAAAGTTAAATAAAACTAATCAAATTGAAAACTAGATTGATTTGGTCAATTTTTATATTTCAAGGATCAATTTTGAGTCCATTCTTAATCACTTTTTTCCCTACATATAGATATCCTCTATTGGAGGTAACTTTATTCGATGCACTGTTAGATACTAAATATAAACACATCTACTAATTAGAATTTAAATATTGATTCTCTATATTATGAGGGACTAACCCCTTTTACTGTTTAGGCCAGACCCTATTGACCGTCATTCCTAATCCCTTTTACATTTATAGAAGTTATTAAAAGCCAAACACTCAATAAATTTTTAACCGTTCGACTTTCTTCTGACTTTTGAATTTCATGCATTGTAGAGGTTAAAAGTTCATTCCTTGTGTATTTAAAAAAGAAATCTAATAAAACTAGTTGAAAATGATGTCGAATAGGGTAGTATATGATTTTCTAAATGGCTATGATCTTAGTTTTTTCCCCCAATATTATTGAGATTTGAAATGCCATCCAAGAAAATACTATAATTTATAACAAACTGTATGGTGTTATGAAATTAACTAACAAAGAAAATATAGTAGAGAAGAAATGGTGACAAGAAAATGAGAAAACTAAATTGTATTAATTTCTTCACCCACTTCACTTTCTCTTATTTGCTTCACAGCACAATGATATGCTTTATTTATAGGCATAGTCTTATATATAAGTTACACTTATACTTAAATGATAGATACTGGATAATAAACCACATGAATGTGAGTAAAGGTGAGTCACAAGGTTAAAAACATAATGGAGGAGTAATGGAGTAGTAAGATTAATTCATAGTGGAAATAGTGGGAGTTACTTGATGAATTTGAAGAGAATGAGATGGACATTTATACTGGAAATGTTCATAACAAATTGTTCACTGATTAATCTAATAAAATACTGATTTATTTATTTATTCATAGTCATCATGCTTACATATGCATGACCGTACCATATATATATCTCCATGATAACAACAAATGAAGAAAACAACAAATTAAATAACCATTATTGGCAGCACTCATAAACCAAGCTAACAGGTCGATGGCTGCCATTTATTATAATTATTATAACCATCATTATCATCATTATTCAACGAATCTATGTTCAAGCATAGCTGCACATCCCATACAAGCAGGAGCTGGTTTCGTCACACTTGTTACCACATTTGCCACAGTGCTTCTCGTTGTTCATGGGGTTCACACACTTTCCTTCGCAGCATATCTTCTGGTGGCCACATTTCTTTCCACATCTGCCACAGTTGGATGAATCTATCTCCAGATTCACACACTTGTTGTTGCAGCAATCTGGACCTGCGCTTCCTTCCACAAGACAAACCTTAGGGTTTCTCTTGCAGCTGGTTGTGCTCCCATAGGGTATACCAGCTAGGAAGCGACTTGTAAAGCCACCTAAAGAGTTGGATTCGTCTTCTGCTTTGGAAAGAGTAATGGCGGAAACTGCAAGTATAGTGATGAAAAGGAAGAGAATTCTCACGGACTTGTTCATGTCTGAAAGTGCTAGGGCTTTGAGAATGGGCAAAGACTTGAAAAGGGAAGAAGAAGGTGATTGGTATAATTTCGGTTTTGGATGAGACTAAGGAGGGGAGGTAGGGGGGTTTATATAGAAGATGAACAAGTGAAGGAATAATGGAGTTTTCATTTTTGGTATTACGGTTTCATATATTTTATTCATTTTTTTGATTCCATTGTCCAATCTATGGGGTCAGGTTAGGCTTAGCAGGATATACAATACTCAAGAGTGGAAAGAAAACTAAAGTCTGCTTGATGCCTCCTGTTGCCTAGAAACTTCATAGCCTGATAATTTACTGATTGAGAGAACCTGCAATATAGCTACGCTACAGTTTTAAAAATAAAATTCATTATTTTCAGAAAATAATTAAATTAAATTATTATATTTTTGCAGTCATAATTTTTTATAATTTTCAATAAAAAGCTGGCAGATCTTGAATTGCCACCGTAGCAAAACGGAAAGTCAGACACAAATCAGATCATGAAGCATTAGACAGTTCCTCATAAAATTCTTCAGAAGGAACTGGATTTCACAGGTTCACACACACGAGAGATTAATCCGGCGATGTTACATTGCTGTTTTGCATTAAGCTTTCGTTCGGCGCGCGCGAGCACACAAGTCGCAAAACAGCCACATGGTTCATTTTTTTCAAAAGAAAGGGGCGCAGAAACTGTGAATAATTGCTTTAAAAATAATTAACATAGTTTTACTATTAAATTCTGACAGTGCATGTGTCATTAATTATACAAAATTTTTTGATATGGTGGCCATGTACTGCATTAACACCTTAAATTATGTGTATTCAAGCGAACTCGTCTCATTGCTTTAACGGACGTGCTGGATCAATTTTCACTAAAAATTATAGTAGTAGTTGATAACCGAAAAAAAAATAATAGGGAGAATTATGATGAGATCCCAAGAAAAAAAATTACTAAAAAGTCTTAATAACAACCTAAGTAGTCTGTGATGACAAGTTCTAGAATAGAAAATGACAACTTCTAGAACTTGTTTGGTAATTATTTTTCTTTTTTACGATCTCATTCTAATTCTCTCAAAATAATATTGCAAATTTTGCCAAAAACGTGATCTCATGATTCAGCTAAGGGCTAGCCCAATGCACAAGACACCTTGTGTTCACGTAGGCTACCTTTGGTGCGGAGTATTAAAAATGAGAGATAAGGATTGGGATTGGGGTTGAAAACATATGTCAAAAAAATACTTAGCATAGGTGATTTCTGGCATTAGATAATCCCATGTGGATAGGATTGGAGAATATACCACCTCCTCTCATGGTATTCTTTCCTATATATATGGATTTGTTTTATCACAAGTATCATACAATTACTTATACTAAATACCTTTTTAATATAGTTTTACACTTTTAATCTCAATTTCTATTCCTTATTTTTAATGCTTTGTACCAAACGGGACCATAGGGTTCAGAGAAGGATCCAATTTGATGTAGGTACAATCTTATACCTTGGAATTAATTGAAAAAACTTTAAACGTGCTTGGTTATATATGGATCCAAACTAGCTAGATATTTGGCGGTACGCCTCTATGTGACTCATATCTGTTTTTGTAACACCGTTGAATGTTGCTGCTTCTCCTCATAACCTGACCAAAATGAAGCCGTATTTATAAAGAGTTGGGCCCAGAAAGAAAAATAGTTCAATTGAAAGTGAAGTAAATATTGAAGAACAAAATTAATTAACAGCCTCGAAAATAAATAAATAAATAAAAACAACACTGATATATTCATTCATTTATTCATGCGTACATATATAAGCATATGCTCTTTTTCTTTTCAATATAACAAATGAAAAAGGAACCAAACAATCAACGCATTGGCAGGACTCATCAAGCTAACTGTTTGATGGCTGCACTTTATTAATTATTACTATCATCATCATCATTATTCTTAACGAAATTCATATGAATGATCGAATCTATGTTCAAGCATAGCTGCACATCCCATAGACACAGGAGCTGGATTCATCACACTTGTTACCACATTTGCCACAGTGCTTCTCGTTCCTCATGGGGTTCACACACTTTCCCTCGCAACATATCTTCTGTTGTCCACATTTATGCCCACATCTTCCGCAGTTGGATGAATCTATCTCCAGATTCACACACTTGTTGTTGCAGCAATCTGGGCCTGCACTTCCTTCTGCAACACAAACTTTAGGGTTTATCTTGCAGTTTGTTATGCTCCCATAGGGTATACCAGCGAGAAAACGACTTGAGAGTCCTCGTCCAGAGTTGAATTGTTCTTCTGCTTTGGTAACAGCAATGGTCAACGCTGCAAGTGTGGTAATGAGAAGGAACAGAATCCTCATCGACTTGTTCATGTTTGAAAGTGTGTTTAGGGTTCTGAGAGAGAATTTAGGTAAGACTTGACAGGAGAAGAAGGTACGTATAGTTGTGGTGTTGATGATGAGACGAAAGAAGGGACGTAGAGGCATTTATATAGAGGAGGAACAAGAAGTGAAGGAATCGTTTAGATGTCAGATTTGCGCTGGTTATTACAGTTTATTATATTTTATTCATTTCTAGATTTCATTTGGTCCAATCTATGGTTCAAGTATATGTCAAGTTAGGCTTACCGGCCAGAATATAATTGAAGAGTGGAAAACAAACTGAAGCCTGCGTGTAGTAACTAAAACTACTTCCCCGGAAAACTTCTTGGTTTGAAAATTCCAAATGCCTATCTATTAAAGTTCCTTCATAAAGAAGTCAAACGACAAATTCAATTATAATAAATGATTTTTTATTGCATAAATTTAAATTTTTTTAAAAATATTTTCAGTTAGAAGTTGGTACATTTTGAATCGCGTCATAGCAAAAAGGAAAGTCAAAGACGCCAATCAGATCATGAAGCATTAAGGTTCCTCAAAAAATTCTTTTTAAATGTCATTGAATTCCAGTGATCATATATTAAAGACAATAATACGTCGCGGTTTTGGAGCCGCATCCCGGGCATGGGGTGTACATAAAGAAATTTATCTATTTATTTAATTAAGACTAAATTTAGGTAACTCAGATTTTATTTCATTTAATTATTTTATTTTTATTTTTTAAATTTTCTATGGTGAAAATTTTAATTTAAAAGTCGTAAATTAAAATCTGATTGTGAATTTTTTTAGAAATAATAATTTAAAATACTATAAAATTAGAAATCTTGAAATGATTTATATGTCTCATCGTAAAAATAAACGCATAGTTCTTATAATTATGAAGATCATCAAATGTGGAACTGTTGCTATTTTGCATAAACATTCATTCAACATACACCCCAGACAGAATAAAGTCTCTATTTTGCCTCTTGTTCACTAGAAGAGGACAATACGCGCACACACAAAAACATAGAATTATGCGTGTCAAAGGTAAATTTATTATATATACTATGTTGTTTAAAAGTTATAAACAATTAACCCATAACTCTTATTTCTAATATCAAATGCGTATATGCCCATAAACTCCCTTGCAGAGTCCTTAACAATACACACACACACACACATGTAATTGCAGTTTTCGTCCTCACAAGTCTAATTATCACATATAATTTCATCCTATTACACCCCAGGCCAAAGTTAGTTTCTCTAATTAAGTAATTGCTTGCTAACATTTTAATTCGTTAAATAAATCATTTCATAATTTCATCATTGAATTTGAGCATTTTTCTCATCATTAAACATAAGGGTCTTATATTTAGGACCGGAAGAGTAATTAGTTTATTATAAATAAAACTATCGTTACGCACGCACGCACGCGGGAATTTTTCTTTTTGGGGGGGGTCGGTCTAGAACTAGAGTTCATTTCAATAGATGGCCCGTCTAATTGTGAAGAGTTAGATAATCAAACAACTTAAAATTTAACCAAAAAGTATAGTTTACATTCCAAAAACTAAAAAATTTAATTGGAATTTTTGTTAACAACATGATTTCGTGATTCAGTTACTTGAAATATTTGAAAATGTATACTTCATTGTCCAAAGAGTCTCAAAGACTCTTCTTTCTGTCCATCCCAGCAAAATTATCACACCATTGAAGTTTGCTACTGTATACAATCTGACCGAAAAGGTGGGGTACAAAAACAAATATTGATGTTAAGGAATTTCTTACGTAATTAAAGAGCTACCCCACCAAAGGAAAAACCTTCAGCTGGAACTCGCAACCTGAATGTAAAGTAATTGAAGAGCGCAATTAATCAACAGCCAAAAAAATAAATAAACAACACTGATTTATTATGATCATTTATTCATGCGTACATGTGCATATATGCCCTTTTATTTTTAATATAACAAATGAAATAGGAACAAAACAATCAATGCATTGGCAGGACTCATCAAGCTAACAGGTTGATGGCTGCCCTTTATTAATTATTACTATCATCACCATCATCATCATTCTTAACGAAATTCATATGAATGATCGAATCTGCGTTTAAGCATAGCTGCACATCCCATAGACACAGGAGCTGGATTCATCACACTTGTTACCACATTTGCCACAGTGCTTCTCGTTCCTCATGGGGTTCACACACTTTCCCTCGCAACATATCTTCTGGTGTCCACATTTATGCCCACATCTCCCACAGTGCGATGAATCTATCTCCAGATTCACACACTTGTTGTTGCAGCAATCTGGGCCTGCGCTTCCATCTGCAACACAAACTTTAGGGTTTATGTTGCAGTTCATTATGCTCCCATAGGGTATACCAGCTAGGAAACGACTTGAGAGCCTCCTTCCAGAGTTGAATTGTTGTTCTGCTTTGGAAAGAGTAACTGCAGAAGCTGCAAATATGGCGACGACAAGGAATAGAATCCTCACGGACTTGTTCATTTTTGGAAGTATGTTAGGGATCTAACAGAAGAATTTGGAGGGAGGCTTGAATAGAGAAGGATGTAGGAATGATTGTGGTTTTGGATGGGACGAAAGAAGGGACGTAGATGGATTTATATAGGAGGGACAAGTGAAGGAATGATGGACACTTCATTTATTTTATTCATTTTTAGATATCATGGTCCAATCTGTGGGTTCAAGTTTAAATCAAGTTAGGCTTACCAGAATATAATTTTAAGAGAGGAAATAAAACTAAAGCTTGCTCGATGGTGATAAAACACATCAGCAAATCAAATAAATTAATTCTTTTCATAGCCCAATATATATTACCCACATTAAGTTTTGCAAATATTTTTGGTTTAAAAAAAAGCGTTGCAACCGAATTTTCACTCTCAATTGAAAAGTTGGCAGATTTTGAATGGGATCAAAGTAAACAGGCAAGTCAAAGACGCAAGTCGGATTATGAAGCATTTAGGGTTCGTCTTAAAATTCTTTAGATGCAGTTGGATTAATCCTTATAGATCTGGGGTTAACACATACGTCGCTGTTTTGCACATAAACCCTACACCAAACACGCGCGCGCGCGCGCACACGTACATTTCCCTTTCAATATCTATGTTTATATATTTATTTACAACCGTAATGACAATAATTAACTTCAAATCTGAAAATATATACTTATTTATCTTTCAAGTTCTTGGAATAATTTTTCTTCATCTAATGACAAAAAGGGGAAAGAAACTCTGCAATATAATAGCTGTGGACGTATTGTTATATGCTTGGATTGTAAGCCAAACAATATTTCTTGTTCATAGCTAAAGAAGAAAAAAAAGGGAATTAAGGAAGTTATGATTCCAATTAATTCTCGGAAAAAAAAAATTCTTTTATTAAACGGTGAGGTTCCGTGTGTGTATATATATTGGTGAATACCTCAAGTTTTTCTTGAATTGTATGAAACTAGATGAAAAGGGCAAAGATATTAAGTAGCCAAAGATGTAGAGGAATAATATCTGATATTATCTTTTGCTATTAAATCAAGCCAGGGATCATTCCTTTGTCTAAGAAAAGCACATATTCCCTACAGCTAGCTCGCTAATTTCCACACCGTGTAGCATCTTCAAAATTAAATCTCTTTTGCATTTAAACATGAGAAGTTATAAGTACTGTGTTTGAATTAAGTTTGAGGATTGAACCCATATAATAATAACAATTCTCTGGGATTTTGACCTAACGATCAAAGACGTAGATGCCAGAAATTCCTCTGCAGAGTCCTGCTGCTGCTAAAACAGCACATTTGATATCACACAGAGGTCATCCTCTCACCCAGCATCATCAGCATCTTCTTGGAACTGTAAGCTTATTGATATTAAGTTTAGACATATCAAGTATCATATATTCATCTCAAAGTTGTGAATTTCTGAGTAATCACTATCTAACCGTACTGTTTGGGATATCTGAATAATAGAAAGAACAAAATATTGATTATATACATGGTTGGGAATGAATTTGTTAGGTTCAAGGAATTCTAATACTGACAGGATGGGGTACTTTGCTGCCCATTGGCGTGATCATTGCAAGATTCTGCAGAAAAATCCCCATCAAATGCAATGAATGGTATTCAAGTCACATAGCGTGCCAGCTTCTGGGATACATTCTGGGAACCATTGGCTGGTCTATTGGCATATGGCTCGGAACTTCTTCCCAACAATATGCATCTGCATCTCAACGCACTCTCAGTATCGTTGCTTTTACTTTCATAAACGTACAAGTAAGTCTCCTTATAACTCTTTCTTCTTCCACTTTGCTGCAAACATGACATCAAAGGTTAGTACAACAATTTTCTTGATCGAGGGTGGATTATCAGATGCTCTCGATTTGTATGCGGCCAAAGAAAGATCAGGGTTACTGCACGAGCTGGAACATATGCCACCATGTTGTGGGATATGTGATAGTTGTGATGGTTATAGCAAACATATTTGGAGGTATTAACAGTCGGAGAGATGAAGCTGAGAAGTTGAAGTGGGCTTATTTGGGGATACTTTGTGTTTTGGCTCTCATAGTTGCAGCATTGGAAGTCTTCAGATGCTTCAAGTTAAAAATGTTGTCACAATCTGTGGAATCAGCCGCCAATATGTACAGCAGTTCACCAGAAATCAAATGAAGCAGTGTGCCCATGTTTTTGTTTCTTCTTTTTGAAGACAATATGACAAAGGAGGAAAGAAATTCTATAGTTGTACCCCTTTATTTTTTAATAAATTTTTATTTATTAGATGGTGGCCAAGGCTCATATATATACATCACACTGTCCAATATGATAAGTCCTATTATTCATAAGTATCATTGTATCATCGTGTCTGGAAATATTTGGATGAAAATCAAATCATAATTTTAAAAGTGATTTTATAGTATATGAAGTGAATATGTAAAGAAGTTTATCTCAACTTGTGAAAAAAAAAACCTTTAAAAAGAACTTTTGATGATATCCAAACATGCCGAGATATGAATCTTTTAGATGTATATAGATTTTGAAAGAAACACAATATAATCATAAATGTGTTTTAGTAAACAGTTATAGGAACGAATCACCACATTTATGACTTATGAATCATCTAATTTGATATAAATTTATTATGTTGAAGAATGATGAAAATGAGAATTTCAAAATAAATTTCATAAGAAAACCCCTTAGTTAAAAATTTTAATCTGTATTATCTAGCCATCTAGATGGTGTAAGTTAATATTGAATCTAACTAGCTAAATTAACAGTGGATGACTGAGATTTAATATTTTTGGTTAAAAAAAAAGATGTACAATATAGAATAAAACTAACCTCACAGACATTAAAATTAATATATGAATGATATTTTAATAATATAGATGCATAGAAGGAGGGAAGGTGGATAGACCGTTTCGTTTCTTCGCGCCATGGGTAACTCATGAAGGTTTCATCGAGGTTGTGAGAAATGCATGGCAACCTTCACGTAGCTGGGACGAGAATGTAGCTCAGTTCTAGGATGATGTAGTAAATTGGAATATGCAGGTTTTCGGTAATATTAATAGACGTAAGGCGATTTTGCTAGAGAAGTTAGAAAGGTTGAATCGGATTTCTTCGGAAAGCACATATCATGAAAGAAGATGTATGGAATTATAGGAAGAGTTAGAGCAGATTCTGGTTTAGGAGGAAATCATGTGGCTTCAAAGGTCTCGGTGTAAGTGGTATAATCAAGGAGATAGGAACACGAGATACTTTCATAATGTTACTAATAGTAGAAGGCGTCGTAAGAAGATAGAAGCTCTTCAAGGTTTGGATGGGGAATGGTGTTATGATCAGGAGATTCTTAAAGAAGCGGGTATGTAATTTTTTCAGAATCTTTATAATATTGATCAAGTGTGTACGGTAACACTTTCCCTAAGGTGGAACGGGGGTATTACAAGCTATGGGGATGAATGTGGTTGTAGAGGAAGTAAAGCAAGCGATTTTTAGTATGGGTCCTTTGAAGGCGCCAAGTCCAAAGGGTTTAAATCCTTTGTTTTATCAGAGTCAATAGAATATTATGGGCAGTGATATGGTGGGATTGGCTCAAAAATTCTTTTGCAATCTGGAGGAGATTAGCCGGGTGAATGGCACAAATATTGTTTTAATTCCCAAGATAGAGGTTCCTTAGAACTTTCGTGACTTTAGACCCATAAGCTTGTGTAATGTTATTTATAAGGTGGTGATGAAAATCCTAGCAAATCGCTTGAAACAAGTTATGCCAATGGTGGTGTCTCCAAATTAGTGTAGTTTTGTCCTTGGCAGACAAAGCTCTGATAATATTATCCTAGCACAGGAAATTATTCACTCTATGCTAAGTAGCAGGAAGAGGAAGCGGTTCATGGCGCTGAAAATTGATCTTGAGAAAACTTATGACCATGTTTGTTGGGATTTTGTCATAAATTGTTTAGGAGAGTTACGACTCCCTACCTCCTTCATAGATATGGTTCATCATTGTTTGTGCTCGGCTGATATGCAGGTGGTTTGGGATGGGTCTAAGGGTGTTGTTTTCAACCCTTTGTGTGGCTTAAGACAAGGGGATCCCCTTTCCCTATATTTGTTTGTTCTAGTTATGGAGAAACTTACACATCTAATCCAACATGAGGTAGAGACGGGTAATTGGCTTCCTTTGAGGTCAAAGAAGAATGGCATAGGGGTTTCACTCCTTTTCTTTGCTGATGATTTACTTCTTTTTTAGGAAGCTAATATGGAGCAAGTAGGTCTTATTAAGGCGTATTTGGATGATTTCTGTTTGGCATTAGGAGAAAAGGCTAACGATGCTAAGTCTTGTATTTTTTTTCTCAGATATAATTCATCATGTTAGAAGACAGGAAATTAGCTCATTTTTGGGGTTTACCCAAACGTCTGATCTGGGAAAATACTTAGGCACACCTCTACACCATAAAAAAGTGTCTAAGCGTACGTACCGGTTTGTGTTGGATAAGATGGGTGGCTGCCTTGCTTCGTGGAAAACAAATGCATTGTCTATGGCTACTTGTCATACGTTGATCTCGTCTACAGTCGCTACTATTCCTTCTTATATTATGCAGTCTATGTCTTTACCAGTCTATATTTGCGACGAGATAGATAAAAGGTGTAGGAACTTTTTGTGGGGTAGACATGGGTCTTCAAAAAGGGTGCCTTTAGTAGCTTGGGATGACGTGTGTAGACGAAAGGAAGATGGAGGTCTTGGACTCTGACAAGCTCAAAAACAAAACTTGGCCTACATGATGAAGCTTGGGTGGAGCTTAGTTAAATGTAGAGATGACCTTGGGTGAGATTCATATGTGAGAGGTATAGTTGTGGCAGTGACGTCCTACCTAAGATTGATGTGGGGAGGGAAGGCTCTTGTGCTCGGGGTGGTATTAAGAACGCGTGGGAAATGACTTGTAGGGGATTGCGCTGGAGATTGGGTAATGGTCAACGAATTCGTTTCTGGGAGGACCATTGGCTTCCCCATCATGAGCGTCTTTTAAATTATGCTACATGCAGTATTGAGGAAACGGCACGTTCAGACTGTGTGGCAAATTTTGTTTGTGTCAGGAGGTTGGGAGTGGGCGAAGTCAGAAGGTGTTTTTCCAAGTGCAATTCTACAAGCCATTGCCCGAGTTTCCTCGGTTTTTAGAAGTATAGACAATGATATGCCTATGTGGTTTGCTGCACATGATGGTTTGTTTTCACTGAGATCGGCCTATGAGCTTCTAAGGGATCACTCATATACATCTAATCGGGGAACGTGGCATAAGGTTTGGAAATTACGAGTGCCACAATGCTGTAGGGCCTTCATGTGGATTTGTCTATAGGGTCGTTTATTGACTAACAGTGTTCGCTATACTAGGAAGTCACAGGACAATCCTCACTGCAATGTATATGGAGCAGCTAAAGAGGACATTCTCCATGTGTTGCATGATTGTGAAATTGCAAGATGTTAGAACATAGTGATACCTGTGGATCTCGTCTTTAAGTTCCATTCGTTTAATAAAGCAAGCAAATCACTTGAGTGGAATATTATGCAGCAACAATCATTTAATGATACGGTGTGGAATGTTTGGTTTACAATCATGTGTCGCCAACTTTGGCTGAATAAAGACGCAGGAGTGTTTGAAAGGAAAGCAGTAGGATTTAAATCATAGCTCAAGTTAGCACTGTGACTAAATGGTCGAGTTTTGAGCTCTGTCAAAAGTAGGAGAATTTAGTGCGGGGGACAGGGTGGAAGGCGCCTGTTGTGGGGTGTTTCAAAGTTAACATTGATGGGTCTTATGAGAGAAATGGTGGTAGAGGTGCCTGTGGTGGTGTGGCCAGAGATCATGAAGGGAAGGTAACATATGGTTTCCTCTTTAATATAGGCAGAGGCTCAAGTCTACATGCTGAGATACGGGATGTGGTTTGGGGATTGACGACAGCGTGGAACATGAAGTGGTGTAGAGTAGTGATTGAAATTGAAACCGACTGCTTGGAATTAGTGGAATTAATCCACTTAGGTTGGGACGAGGATCATATTGAGTCTCAGCTACTGAAGGAGCTTAAAGAGTGGTTGATGAATGACTAGGACATTAGTGTGGTGTGGTGCAATAGGACATTGAATGGAGTTGCGGACCGCTTGGCTCACGTAGCTCTTTCAAGTCCTGAAGGCTTTACTTTCTTTTCTATTCCTCCTAGTTTTTGAATTCTTTTATATATAGGAGCATAGAAAACGAGGAGCGGATAGAGAAAATGATTTGCATTTTTCTAAATAGAAAGTGTTTTCCTGTGCAACTGGTTTAACCGAGATGTAAATTTTATACAATCTTTTCTTAGCAGTTACAAAAATCATTTGCAAAAGCTTTAATACATGTTAATAAAAACATTTTCTAAATGTAATTTAAATGAGCACATAAAGCTCACATTAAAAACGGACAATAAAATCTTTAAAATTATAAAATAAACTATAAAAAACTGTAGATCAGTCCTCTCTCTCTCACACATTTTGCACATCATTAGCTTTAGAGACTGTAGATCAGTCCTCTCTCTCACACACGTGGGGGAGATACTCCTCAGTCCTTGCGCGACCCTCGCATCAGATTTGGCAAGTGCAACTCTGTCTTCCCACCACTCCAAAACCGTAACAAATAAATGATAAAATATTAATTGATTAGGGAAAAAATAATACAATAATAAGAGTATGAATCTATAACAAAGGCTACTGTTGATACGAGAAAGTGGGGGCCACACATAATTAGCAATGGAATTGGTGAGAGAGAAAGAGATTGTCCAACTTTGGTTTTGCTGTCACAGTTGACACCCTCTATCCTGCTGTACTCCAACCTCGGTCTTTCTCTGCAATTCTGCAAATATAGACTTGGGCGTTTTGCCCCTCCAACATTTGCTCCCTTCACCTCCTCTTCCACTACCATTGGTAAATCGATCCCTCCCGACCTCCCCCTTTCTTCTCTCCGCTCTTCACTTTTCACACGAAAGAATCTCTCTCTCTCTCTCTCTCTCTCTCACCCATCACGCTTACTCTTCACCTCTTGCCCCACATGAAGCTCCTCACTCTCTGCCTTCTCCCTTCTTTTCTCTCCTCTCCGCACATTACTCTGTGCTGGATCTCTTCTTTCTCCCTTCCCTTTCCAGATCTTCCTTCTTCATTGCATTTGGTTGCCTCTATGGATCCTTGCCCTTCCGTGCGGCTCATCGTCGTTAATCTTCCCTCAACATTCCCGTCACCTCCAAGCCTGCTCCTTCCATCATTATTGTCATGTTAGTCACAGCGTGGCTAGAGGGACAATAGTAGACAAATTAAGGATGAATCATAAAGGGTTAAAAGAAAAAGATATACACGGCAAACTTGGTACTGGAAAATGATTCTAAGGGTCTCTCTGGGAGGTAAGCTTCAAGAAGTGATGGCTTCTACGATTTCTTGGTCGATATGCATAACATCTATGGCCGTTTAATGTTTCCCATCCTCTCAAAGTGAACGTTTCATTGTAGGTAGTCTAACCTTGTTATATAGACCTTCATCCTTCCCCATTCTCGTGTACCCCCGGGGTCGAGACCTAAGCTCTGTGATTATGGCTGCTGCTTCTTCTCGCAAAAAGAAAAAGAAGGTAAACTATTCGCCTTCGTAATTTTTGGGATGGAGGAATCGTTTAAATACTAATATTTCAATTGTTGTTTGCCTAGAAAGACCTTAAGCAAGAACAGAACAGTGGGTGTGTTTTAGCATTACAAGCCACATCACTATAAATTTGCGCCTAGCTGAACCAAATTGGTAGCCATTTCAAAAGAGAAGATGAACTTCCCAAGATTGATAGCCATTTCAAAAGCTTAATTACCAGTATACATCGAACCGAATCACTACAATGAAAAAAGAGATTTCACAAGAAAACGTACCCACAAAGGGAGAGGCAATGGTAGATCCTATTCTTCTATCAACATCATTGTCTACCTCTGTTCTTCATTACCATCTTCACCTACTGCACTCACCCACATCACGATAACCACCATCGGTGACCTCAAACATTCACCTCCAGCAACGAATGATGGGAAAGTGGAGAAATGAGGATTTATATCACTGTCTGATGCTTGGAGAGGGAGATTTTAAATTTTGAATTTGAAAATGAGGATGATTGAGACAGAGGGGAAGATGACAGTCTTAGGGGAAGGGGAAAAGAAGAAGGGATCAGCCTTAAAGCTCTGAAAAAGCTAGAGAAGTTGATTTTTTTTATATAAAAAAATTAGCAATAAATAATTAATTTAAAATTTGAATTTGAAATATTAGAAGAGTGTCTTGGACTGAGAATTTGAAAATAGGTGTCTGCATCACACAGCCCGACCTGTATGAGCCGAATTATGCAAAGCCCAATAAAATTGTGGTGAAGCCTCATATCTCTTATGAACAGTGAAATGATTCTGAAGCCAGGAAATAATCTAATACAGTAGTTATATTGATTTAACAACGAGAATATGATGCGTCGTTTTTTGTTGACTTTGGATTCTCTCCACTACCTTTCCATCCTCTTCCCCTCCACTACCCTTCTTTTCTCTTCACAACTATTAGATCAAAATTCTAATGGTCCAGATTTAACATCTTATAAAAATAATGTTATTAAAAAAATAAATAAATTTAAACTGTTAAAATCTGGTCTGAACAGTTTACAATTGTAATAAAAAAAATTAAAAAAAATTTGCTCTATAATAATAGTTTGTAGTTATGAACTGTTCAGATTAGATTTTAACAGTTTAAATTTATTTATCTATTTTTTATCATAATATTTATTTTTATAAAATGTTATAAAATATTAAATCTGGACCATTGGAGTTTTAATTTAATGGTTGTGAAGAGAAAAAGAGGGTGGTGGAGGGGAAGAGGATGGGAAGGGTAGTGGAGAGAATCCAATTCCGTCAGAAAGAGAGAGGCTTTGCCGCTTTGCTTCTTATCCTGATACTGTCTTCTCCATCATTTCTGGGCCTCGTTGCTAATTAGGAATCGGATATTCGATTCTTTTCTTAACTTCCTCGGGAAACTTCGCTTTCTCTCTCTCTCTCTCTCTCTCTCTCTCTCTCTTTTTTAATTCCTCCCCCCACTTTGCTGATGTAAAAGCCTACTGGCGACAGCTGGAGGCTCCGTGGAGCAATCTTTACCAGGTAAATTAATAGTGGATTCAAACATTTCTCCTTTTTCTCTCTCTCTTGCTCATGAGCTTTCTGGATTGATGGTTTGTCTTGATGGAATTGGATTCTCTCCACTACCCTTCCTATCCTCTTCCCCTCCACCACCCTCATTTTCTCTTCACAACCATTGAATCAAAACTCCAATAGTCCAGATTTAATATTTTATCACATTTTATAAAAATAAATATTATGATAAAAAATAGATAAATAAATTTAAACTGTTAAAATCTAATTTGAACAATTCATAACTACAAACTGTTATTATAGAGCAAATTTTTTTTAATTTTTTTTATTACAATTGTAAACTGTTCAGACCAGATTTTAACAGTTTAAATTTATTTATTTATTTTTTTAATAACATTATTTTTATAAGATGTTAAATATGAACTATTAGAATTTTGATCCAATAATTATAAAGAGAAAAAAAGGGTAGTGGAAGGAAAGAGAATGGAAAGGCAGTGGAGAGAATCCAACCCCTCACCTGCCTGTCATCTTCCTCCCCCACTCCACGACGAACTTTCCAGATAGTATTTTGTGGAGGATCGGGAGCTGTGTGCCAAGAACAACGAAGACGTTTCCCCGTACTTGTGGTGAACAAGCTCAATCAAAACCATCAGTGTCTATGGCTGCTGCTGCGGCGTCGTTCAGGTCTGTCCTACAACAAGCTCAGCAGGCCGCTGAGCGGTCCGGCCGAAGTGCCCCGCAGATCCGACTCGTTGCCGTTAGCAAGACTAAGCCAATTTCTGTTATCCGCGAGGTCTATGATGCTGGTCATCGATGCTTTGGCGAGAACTACGTTCAGGAGCTCATTGAGAAAGCTCCTCAGGTCCTTCGTCTTGTTTCTCCGCTGTGCTTGTTTGATTTTATTCCGTGGTATCTCTTTTTTGTTTACCCCTTTTGTCGAGATTTTGATTAAAGCCTCTTTTTCGTTTCAATGTTTAGACGAAGAATGATTTAACATTTCTAATCTCCTTGATTTTGTTTCCTGCCCATTGTAATCGGTAATAGAGGACACTCTGATCGAGTAATCTTTTTCTCTTGCAGCTTCCAGATGATATTGAGTGGCATTTCATTGGGAATTTGCAGAGCAATAAAGTGAAGCCTCTTTTGGGTATGAGTAGTTTAATCCTTGAGGTTGTGTTGAATAGAGCTTCTTGGGAATTGTTTTTTTAGCCCTTTAACTGAATTCATGGCATCTTTATCCTGTTCAATTCTATGATGACACGCGATAAACTTCAAACTGGAAATTATGACGAATCTTAGTGTTGATCTTAGGAACCGGACCTATGAGATTCAGAGGAGAATTTTATGATACAAAGTAATGGTAAAATTATTCTTAATCTTTTGTGCTGTCGCTTATTGGAGTGACTATTTTAATACAGAGGAGCTATTTTTTCCCCTCCTCCCGGAAAGGTGCCATTGAATGTTTGGGTTGTTTATGCATTCATTTTATAATTTTATTTGACTAGCTTCTGCGTCTTATGGAATATACTCATTTTTACTCCACGCAATTATCTGATTTTAATATGGTTCCATTTTCCATTTACAGGCGGTGTTCCAAATCTTGCATATGTAGAGACAGTAGATGATGAGAAGGTATGTTATTCGTGCGTGTTTTTGCTTGCTCTAGGAAGACTGGTGCATTAGTGTTCAAGTTCTCATAGGAACGACGTTGTAATTTGCTGCAGACTTCACTAGTTCACTTAACCGATGTTTACAAGAAAGTATAAAGTTGCCGCTTGCCACTCTATCAGTGGGTTTAATTTTTAGTTGTACGGAGGCAAATTTGTCCTAAATCCTTTTTGAATTTCAATTCTTATCCAATGGACAAAAGTTTCTGCTCTAACTTTCTTCTTTAACCTTCTTCTGTGCTATGTTCGGTTCGACAAAGCGTAGTTTGAAATCTTATTAGAAACTGTACTTTACTGTGAAATAATGCCTGTAGCTTTAGCATACGCATAACTATTGTACCTTCCCGTTTTCTGTTACAAACAATTAACTGATTGCTTGCTTAGCTTTCTTTATGCGATTGTTTGCTGGCAGATAGCAAATCATCTTGACGGTGCAGTAGCAAACATTGGCAGAAAGCCTTTGAAAGTTTTTGTTCAAGTGAATACAAGTGGAGAAACATGTAAGCTACAATTGATTTTCCTATTTTTTCGGTTTATGCATTGTCTTAATAAAATGACATGCTTGTGTTAGATGTCATGGACCCTATGTTGCGCTGCTTCTATTAGATGAATCCCAAAATAACGTCTGCAGCTTGCAATCATATTATTGGATTTATGTCCAACAAATCACTCCTTTAAATAGACTAAACCTTAGTTATCAGACTAAAAGTCATATTGATGGGCTGCTTGATGGAGGACTTGCTGGTTTACAGTTTATATCCTGAATCTTGGTGTACATTTTTGTTTTAGTATTATAAATCACGTGACCAATCTAATCCTTGAACATAACGTTTTCAATTTGGTTCCAAGATGATAAATATTTTGCTATCTTGGTGCAGCAAAATCTGGTGTCGAACCTGCTGGATGTGTTGACCTTGTAAAGCATGTCAGGAGCTGCCCTAACCTTGAGTTTTGTGGTTTAATGACTATTGGTATGCCAGATTATACAGCTACGCCAGAAAATTTTAAGGTGGTGGCTGGTGCCCTGAATGTTTAACTTGTAGTTCCCCTCCTTTGCGGGTGAATTTCCTTGAAACTAATGTTTCTTCTATTCTCCAGACACTATCTGATTGTAGAAGCCAGGTTTGTAAAGAACTTGGAATGTCAGAAGAGCAGTGTGAGCTATCGATGGGAATGTCTTCAGACTTTGAGCTAGCTGTAAGAAATCTACTTGTGGTTCGCATGCGTTGGGCCGAAAGGAGAAGTAATGTCTAAAGAGTGTTTAACCAGCCAACTTTATAATTTTGCAGATTGAGATGGGAAGTACAAATGTGAGGGTTGGATCTAGCATATTTGGCGCCAGAGAGTATCCAAAGAAAGAAGCCCAGTAGCTCTCCCGATTTTGCAGCCTCGTTCGAGTTCCCAACTCCTTATGCAGAAAAATTGTGGGTGATCATGAGCAGACAAGTTTTTGGGGATTACAGAGGGTCAATGTCAGAAAAGCCTGAATAAATACATTGACGTTGAAAATAAAATAAAATTCACTCAATGGGATGTGTATTGTTTTTCTTTTTCTTTTCTCTTTGGTACCTCCATCCCCTGTTGTCCCAACAGGGGATGGGGGAAAATGTAACTCTCGATTTCCTGGCCACAAATCTTGTATGTCAAAAACAGCAATGCGAAGAAGAAACAAACCAGAACAGGTCATGAGAAAGCAAATTGCTTCCTACGTAAGCTTCAATGCTCCTCTCTTTTTCTTTTTATTATTTTTTTCCCCAAAATAACAAGGCTATGCTAGAATGGCTCAGGAGAAAACAAAGACTAAGTCAGAGGCAAAAGGTCTCCATATCGTAAAGAAGAGCTGTCTTTCAATGCTTAAAGTGACAAGACCTATGAGAAAAAGAGAGAGATGCTCTGAGTGCACACTAGTGTCTAAGCATTGGGGACATTTTATACTTTCACTTTAAATATATGGTATTTTTCAAAAAGTTACATGTTTTAATATGTAAAGCATATTATGAAGAAATACTAATCTTTGATTATTTATTTCTAATAGAAAGCAAGTAATTTTGATATACTCCCGTAGATGTTTTAGATAACAAAGGTATTAGTGGTCTTTAGAATTTCATAAAATGTCTTGTTTACTGAAATGTAGGACTTTTGGAGCTATGGATTTATCGAATTGTTTTCATAATTTGAGAATAAATCAAAATTTTTATTTACTACGTACAATCTTAATTATAAGAGCTAGTTGACTAATTTAACAAAATTACGGAAAGAAGTTAAGTTAATTATTTGTAATAAATATGTATTATCTTTTCTAAAATATCTTTACTAATTAAGTATGCTAGTTAAAACTACAATTATTAGAAGGACTATCTTGAAAAAAATTGAGTAAATATGAGAGATAAAATAGATTGGGTTTTTATATTTAGGACCAACATAAAAGTCAAACGGGATCTTATATTAAAGACAGGAGGTAGTATAATTTTTGCCACATTCTCAAATCACTCAATAAAATGATCAATATACAATGATTTTATATTTAATATTTTATTAACACGCAATAATTTCTTGGATGCTGTAAGAATCTATATGGTCTCAATTACGAAGTCGTTTGCCCCTAAACTTCGTCAGCACCATTTGGAGCTACAGAAGATAGAAATAGGCGCGTGTAGATGGTAGGGCAGTTGATTTGCTGAGAGAAGGACGAAAGAATTCAAAGAGGGAGATCATTTTTCTCAGTGGAAATCCAGAGATGAACAGGAAGCAACAAAAGGCGTTGAAGCTGTTATCGTGGATACTGGCACTCACTCTGGCGGTTTATATAGCGGGATGACCCTGACATTGGCAACTCAGCAAAAGTGTTGCCGCCGTTTGCCGCGACGCCTCTCCTTCTTCCTGTCCTCCTTGTCCCTGCGATTGCCCTCTTGAGCCTCTTCTTTCTCTTCCCGAAGGTACTTCTCTTTTTCTTTCCTCCATTTTTTCTTGGCTTCTCTTTTCACCTCTGATGAGTGATGACGCTTGATTGACAAGTTGGAGTTTATTCCTGCTTCTTGGCCTGATGGGGAATTCCGGAAACTCAATTTCTTATTCAAATGTTGATACTTTGCATTGTGTTGATCAGGTCAAATGAAGTAGTGTATCTGTGTTTTTGTTTCTTCTTTTTGAAGACAATGTGATAAAGGAGGAAAGAAATTCCATAGGTGTATCCCTTTATTTTCTAAATAAATTTGTATCTATTAGATGGTGGCCAAGGCTCATATACATCACACTGTCCAATATGATAAGTCGTACTATTCATAAGTATCGCTGTATGTAGAGCCGGGAAAACGGGCCGAGCCCATCGGGCCGGCCCGTTTAGGCCCTGAAATTACGAGGGCCGGGTTTGATATTTTTTTCTTAAAATGAGAAACAAGCCCTGGAGGGCTGGCCCTGAAGGGCCGAGGGCTTAAAAGGGCCGGCCCTTTTAAGCCCTTTTGTAATTTTTTTATTTTTTAAATTTTTTTATATAATATTAATGTTATTAATTTTTTACATTATTAATAATATTTCAAATATTTAGTTATTATTATCATTTTAAAATTAAATTTAGTTTTAGACAATAATTTATCTAATTAAATTTTTAAAAAATCGGTTAATTTGGACTTTAATAATGATTTGATTTATATTATATGCGTTGATATTTTAAACTATATATATTTGATAATAGAATATTTTTATACTTATATAACTTGTGATTCTATAATTTGAATTAGAAATTCATGAGTTTCAACAACAATGTTTCTCACATTAAAGTAAAATAATAGTTAGATTGCAAAATTCAAAAATAAAATTCTTATAAAGAAGAAAAACTTGATATTTTTGTTACGAAAGAAAAGCATACTTATGAAGAAAAGTAATTAATTATAGTGATGATGAAGTTTCAAAAGATTAATGACAGTGTTTATTTATTGCACAATTGCATTATAGATAAAACTTTTAGATGTTGTTATCTTGTTAATGAATGTTTTAGATGTTCTTAGATGTTGATGAATATTTATATATGATGATATTTTATATTTGTGACTTAATTTTATTCATATTTATGTCTTTTATTAATAATTTCATTGGTTTATTTTTATATTTTTATAAAAAAATTTGATAAATATAAAAAATAGTATTTTTCCTTAAACGGGCCAAAAGCCCGCGGGCCGGCCCTGGCCCTGTAGCTTAAGGGTCGGGCTTAGCAAATTGGGGTATTTTTTAAAATTTCAGCCCTGGAGGGCCGGCCCTTTTAAGCCCGCCAGCCCTGAAGGGTCAGCCCTGGAGGGCCGGGCCGGCCCTGATTCCCGCTCTAGCTGTATGATCGACTTCATGTGAATCTTTTAGATATATACATATATATATATATATATATATAGATTTTAAAAGAAAAACAATATAATCATAAATGTGTTTCAGTAAATAGTTATAGGAATGAATTACAATATTTATGACTTATGAATCATGTAATTTGATATAAATTTATTATGTTGAAGAATGATTAAAATTAGAATTTCAACATAAATTTCATAAGAAAACCCTGTAGTTAAACATTTTAATTTGTATCCTCTAGCCGCCTAGATGGTGTAAATTAATATTAAATCTAAACTATCTAAATTAACATTGGATGATTGAGGTTTAATTTCATTTTATTTTTATTATTTTGAAAGATATACAATATATAATAAAAATAATCTCATCATTAAAATTTAATATATTAATGAAAATAATTTGCATTTTTCTAATTTCCTCGGCACTAATTCATCACAGGAGGGGAATAGTGAGAACACGATGTGTCGTTTTGTGACCACCCGTCGCCTTCCGCCCCCACGTCAAGGCGAACTTTTTAGATGCCGTTTTCCCGTTGCATCGTCCGTTTTTTTTGTGGAGGGCCTTTTTTTTTTAGTCTTTTTTTTTTTTTGTGGAGGGTCGGGAGCTCTGTGCCAAGAACAACGAAGAGGTTTCCCCGTACTTGTGGTGAACAAGCTCAATCAAAACCATCGGTATCTATGGCCGCTTCAGCCCCCGTGGTGGGCGTCGCTGCGGCGTTGTTCAGGTCTGTCCTACAACGAGCTCAACAGGCTGCTGAACGGTCGGGCCGAACTGCCCAGCAGTTCCGACTCGTTGCCGTTAGCAAGACTAAGCCAGTTTCTGTTATCCGCGAGGTCTATGATGCTGGTCATCGATGCTTTGGCGAGAACTACGTTCGGGAGCTCGTTGAGAAAGCTCCTCAGGTCCTTCGTCTTGTTTTTCGTTTGAGCTTGTTTGATTTTATACCGTGATATCTCTTTTCTGTCTATCCCTTTTGTTGAGATTTTGATTAAAGTTTTAATTTTGGCTCTTTTTCGTTTCAATGTTTTGATGAAGAATGATTTAACATTTCTAATCTCCTTGATTTTGCTTCCTGCCCATTGTAATCGGTAATGGAGGACACTCTGATTCAATAATCTTTTTCTCTTGCAGCTCCCAGATGATATCGAGTGGCATTTCACTGGGAATTTGCAGAGCAATAAAGTGAAGCCTCTTTTGAGTATGAGTAGTTCGTGGGAATTGTTTTTTTAGCCCCTTAACTGAAGTCATGGCATATTTATCCTGTGCAATTCTATGATGACATGCGATAAATTCCAAACTGGAACGTATGATGAATCTTAGTGTTGATCTTAGGAACCCGGACCTATGAGATTCAGAGGAGAATTTTACGATACAAAGTAATAGTAAAATTATACTTAATCTTTTGTGCTGTCGCTTGTTGGAGTGACTATTCTTAATACAGAGAAGCTATTTTTTTTCCCTCCTCACGGAAAGGTTCCATTGAATGGTTGGGTTTTCTTTTTTTTTTTTTTGGTCAAAGAATGTTTGGGTTGTTTATGCATTAATGTTATAATTTTATTTGACTAGCTTGTGCGTCTTATGGAATATACTCATTTTTACGCGACGCATTTATCTGATTTTAATGTGGTTCCGTTTTCCATTTACAGCCGGTGTTCCAAATCTTGCATATGTAGAGACAGTAGACGATGCGAAGGTATGCTATTCATGCGTGTTTTGCTTGCTCTAGGAAGACTGGTGCATTAGTGTTCAAGTTCTCAAAAGGGCGACACCGTAGTTTGTTGCAGACTTCACTAGTTCACTTAACTCAACCGATGTGTACAAGAAAGTATAAAGTTGCCGCTTGCCACTCTATCAGTGGGTTTAATTTTTGGATCTGCGCAAGCAAATTTGTCCTAAATCTTTTTGGAATTTCAATTCTTATCCAATGGACAAAAGTTTCTGCTCTAACTTTCTTCTTTAACCTTCTTCTGTGCTATGTTTGATTCGACAAAGCTTAGTTTGAAATCTTATTAGAAACTGTACTTTACCCTAGTTATGTGAAATAATGCATGTAGCTTTAGCATACGCATAACTATAGTACCTTCCCCTTTTCTGTTACAAACAATTAACTGATTGCTTGCTTAGCTTTCTTTATGCGATTGTTTGCTGGCAGATAGCAAATCATCTTGACGGTGCAGTAGCAAACATTGGCAGAAAGCCTTTGAAAGTTTTTGTTCAAGTGAATACAAGTGGAGAAACATGTAAGCTACACTTGATTTTCCTATTTTTTGAATTTGTGCACTGTGTTAATAAAATGACATGTTTGTGTTGGATGTCATGGACCCTATGTTACACTGCTTCTATCAGATGAATCCCAAAATAACGTCTGCGGCTTGCAATCATATTATTGGATTTATGTCCGACAAATCACTCCTTTAAATAGACTAAACCTATGGTTAATATTTATCAGAATAAAAGCCATATTGATGGGCCGCTTCATGGAGTAGCTTGCTGGTTTACAGTTTATATCCTGATTCTTGGTGTACATTTCTGTTTCTTAGCATTATAAATCACATGACCAATCTAACGTTTTCAATTTGGTTCCAAGATGATAAATAATTTGCTATCTTCGTGCAGCAAAATCTGGTGCTGAACCTGCTGGATGTGCTGACCTTGTAAAGCATGTCAGGAGCTGCCCTAACCTTGAGTTTTGTGGTTTAATGACTATTGGTATGCCAGATTATACAGCTACGCCAGAAAATTTTAAGGTGGTGGCTGGTGCCCTGAATGTTTAACTTGTATTTCCCCTCCTTTGCGGGTGAATTTCCTTGAAACTAATGATTCTTCTATTCTCCAGACATTATCTGATTGCAGAAGCCAGGTTTGTAAAGAACTTGGAATGTCAGAAGAGCAGTGTGAGCTATCGATGGGAATGTCTTCAGACTTTGAGCTAGCTGTAAGAAATGTACTTGTGGTTCACGTGCGTTGAGCCGAAAGGAGAAGTAATGTCTAAAGATTGTTTAACCGGCCAACTTTATAATTTTGCAGATTGAGATGGGAAGTACAAATGTGAGGGTTGGATCTACCATATTTGGCGCCAGAGAGTATCCAAAGAAAGAAGCCCAGTAGCTCTCCCAATTTTGCAGCCTCGTTCGGGTTCCCAACTCCTTGTGCAGAAAAATTGTTGGTGATCATGCGCACACAAGTTTTTTGGGGATTACAAAAAATCAATGTCAGAAAAGCCTGTACAAATACATTGACGTTGAAAATAAAATAAATTTCACTTAATGGGATATGTGTTGTTTTTCCTTTCCTTTTCTCTTTGGTACCTCATGATTGTTGTCCCAACAGGGGATGGGGGAAAATGTAACTCCCGATTTCTTGGCCACGAATCCTGTATGTCGAAAACAGCAATGCGAAGAAGAAACAAACCAGAATAGGTCATGAGAAAGCAAATTGCCTCCTACATGAGCTTCAATGCTCTTCTCTTTTTCTTTTTCTTTGTCTCTTTTTCCCCCCAACATAACAAGGTACGCTAGAATGGTGAAGGAGAAAACAAATAAGTCAAGTTAGAGGCAAAAGGTCTCTATATCCTAAAGGAGGGCTGTCTTTCAATGCTTGCTAAAGTGACGAGCTATGAGAAAACGAGAAAAATGCTCTCAGGTACACACCAATGTTTAAGCATTGGAGGCATTTTCACTTGTTTTTTAAGAAGTTACATGTTTTAACATGTAAAGCATATTATGAAGAAATACTAATACTTACTTATTTTTTTGTAATAAAAAGCTAGATAGAAATTTTAGATAGAAAGGTATTAGTTGTCTTTAGAATTTCATAACATGTCTCGTTTATTGAAATGTAGGATTTTAGAACAAAATTTTACATATAAAACAAAGATGGTATTTTTAAAAATTCGTAATATGTAAAATTTTTTATTATAGTCATGCTATTGATCTATCGAATTGTTTTCATAATTAATATGAATTTGAGTTATAAATTAAAATTTATAATTATAATTTTTGCGACATTCTTAAATCACTCAATAAAATGGTCAATATACAATGATTTTATATTAAATATTTTAGTAACAAGCAATAATTTCTTGAATGCTGTAAGAGTTTTACAATAGAAAGATCAAACCATTAATTTCTGAATGCAAATAAGAATCTATATGATCTCAATTACGATGTCGTTTGCTCCCAAACTTCGTCAGCACCGTTTGGAGCTGGAGAAGAAACTATATATAGCACACACTACACAGAAATAGGTGCATGGAGATGGTGGGGCAGTTTATTTGCTGAGAGAAAGACGAAAGAATTCAAAGAGGAAGATCCTTTTTCTCAGTGGGAATCCAGAGATGAACAGGAAGCAACAAAAGGCGTTGAAGCTGTTATTGTGGATACTGGCACTCACTCTGGCGGTTTACATAGCGGGACGACCCTTATATTGGCAACTCAGCGAAGGTTTTGCCGCCGTTCGCCGCGACGCCTCTCCTTCTTCCTGTCCTCCTTGTCCCTGCGATTGCTCTCTTGAACCCCTTCTTTCTCTTCCCGACGGTACTTCTCTTTTTCTTTCCTTGAAATGGTGATTACACACACATTGCCATTTTTTTCTTGGCTTCTCTTTTCTCCTCTGATGGGGAATTCCGGAAACTCAATTTCTTATTCAAATGTTGATACTTTGCATTGTAGTGTTGATCAGGTCAAAATACCATGTGAAAGAATTCACACAATATCTGCTTGAATAGGCTCACCGGTAGACGCATCATACCTGAAAATCAATACTGAACTGAGTCTGAATCTGACGCAACAGGGGGGGCATATACTTAGACGTTATAGAACATAGCAGTCTCGATTGAAACCCGAACAGATTTGGCCTTCACATTATGTATTAAAATTCAAGTGCTTTCTAATATGTGGAATTGGATACTGTTAGATATAAGAACAAATGGATTCTTTATTGCCAACATTTCTTTGCTGTTAGCCAAGTGTGATAATTGCCAAAGGAAAAAAAGAAAAAGAAAAAGGATCAGCCTCACAACATTACTTCTGACTCTTACCGCGCATTACAATGGAAAATATAAACATGATAGTCTTTTAGCAAATGTTATTTATACATCTTACTTAGATATTAATCTCTGATTGCTATTTTTCTCGGTTTTCATTTAGATCTTGACCTTGCTTATTGATTGTGCAAGCTTAACTCGGCTTCTCTGCCTGTTTTCAACTGCAGGATTCAACAACTCCATTATAGGTAAATCTTTCCACCTTTACTAGTCCCTAAAAGTTACAGAAAGCTGTCAGTTTGAATTCAGACGGCAATCATGAGGCAGCCATTAGATAATCTTTTAAGTATCCAGAGTGTCTAGATCTCACCGAGGCTGAGGCATTCTTAGGTGGCTAAATTCAATTATGAGTGTGTTAATATATATGATTTCTTAAACAACCAAAATGGTAATCAGTCCTGATATGTGTTACATATAAGTGTGTTATAAAATAAAAATGTCAAAGATAATCTTAACTCGTTACTGGAAATCTTACTTTAGTATCATCTAGGTTAGGGGAAACTAATAGAATCTCTGCGGGATGATATACTAAAAAGGCGTTCCATAGGGTACGTTAGGGATTGAGGGATAAGGACAATAGAGAAGGAAAGCAAAGGAGATGTTTGGTTTAGATAGAACTTCGTCTTACGGTTTTCTTCACCTTCCATGAAAAGACAATGGTTTCAATTATATTTAGTACAATTGTAGATTGCATGAGACAAGATCCAGAGGTGAGCGAAGAGATGCAGAAGGGTTTTTTGGATCTGTTGTCAGAAGAAGTGAAGTTAAAGGAAGCTGAAGCTCTGGAAAAACATCAGCGAGCTGACATGGCTCTTTTAGAGGCTAAGAAGGTGGCATCGCAGTATCAAAAGGAGGCTGACAAGTGCAATTCAGGGATGGAGACATGTGAGGAGGCAAGGGAAAAGGCAGAAGAAGCACTTGAAGATCAGAGGAAAATAACTGCTTTGTGGGAGCTCAGGGCTCGCCAAAGAGGATGGAGTCCACATTAGGATAGGGCAGCGCTCTTTCATCTGAGTAAAAGTATCATCATCCAACATCTTTATTGTTAGTTTTTTTCATTATGATCTCATACATTGATTCTTTTTAGCGGTTCCTCGGTATTAGTTACTAAGAAGCAATTTCCCATGAAAATTCCAGTTTCAGACTGCTTGGCTTTGTTCTTAATCAGCCTAGCACTTCTCTAGGGTCAATGCAGAAACGTCATCATCTTCCTGATGAGGCTTGAACCTCAACTTTCACTTCCATGACCGTGCTTTAAGATTTGAGTTGAGAATAATAAAAGTGAACGTGCTTGGGGACAGAGAATGCTGGCCTACACCATGTTTATGGAAAACTTCTGTTTAGGTCACATGCTAAAGTGAGAGAATTTCGCGAAGACTACTTTATTCGGAGAAAGGGAGGGGAAAAAAATTACTTTAATTCCTTTTCCCTCCTTCGAAAACAACAATAAAACGGCTACTTTTCCTTTAATTCTCTCCCTTCTCTCTTTCATTTTCTCACCAAACATGGGGGCAGGGAAATATCCCTTTTGGCCCCCTTCTAGGGAGAATATACATACCAAAAGAAATTTTTGACTGTCAAACTTTGAAAGCAGCGGTTAAGAGTGGAATATTAACATTTCTGGGATGCCAGCACCCAAATCATTTTCATGCTCTCTCAAGTTGTCACTAGAAGTTCAAATAACTGCTTTTCATTTCAATCCCAATCTCCTCTAATGTCATTAATGAGCGATTTTTTTTTTTGGGGGGTTATTTTAAATAGAAGACCATGATAAAATCCTACAAAATGAAAATGACTAAATATTAAGTTGAGAAAGGCCTACATGCCACAGGAGATTCCCGGAGGATGATATACCTCGCCCCTATACGGTGAACTAGAGCATTTAGTCGTAATTTAGGCGACCAACAGCGGCGGGGTTAAAAACACTTCGAACGTAATCCAAGCATACTATGCTACTCATGTGGAAGGTCGGAACTTGAACATTATAAGCATGTATTCTTTCATTTCTTCGCTTTCATTTTTATATATTCTGAAATCTGAACGCATCTACCTTAACTAGCATTATCTACTTTTTGTTTCCTAAAACTACATTTATTTCTTACTATCTGAGCGTGAAAGGAAATCAGAGAGTCCCAAAGTTTTCAGAAATAATCGCAGCTTTTTGAAGCCTTTATAAATTAAATAATTCATGTAACAGATCGCTGTTCTACATCTGATGTATTTGTATGAAGCCTTCTCTACAAGACAAGATAAAATTATCTTTATCTGCTTGTTACCACCGACCATACCTACATATCGCTGAATAAACTATTTCAGCTGCAAATGATCTTTATCTGCTTGTTACTATTGACCGTATCTACCTCTGAACTGAACTATTCTCAGCAGCGGCGATATCTCATCCCCTTCTATCTGCAAAATTGGGGCAGTAGAAGCTGTCTTTAAACTCGAAATAGCCCCACTTGGCGTTCGAAGTATAGATTGTATGAGTTAGTATATGGCTAGAGTGCTTGATGAACATATGCATCACGTCATGTATGACTGTCTAATGACGAAGATAGTTCAGAGCCGCTGATCGAGTCATCACTCAACAGGCGCATAGCAGCTCCCCGAGAGAATTTCCGAGCAAATATAAAACAAGGAACAGATGTTGAATTGTTGCGGCACCATTCTGTACGGTACTCAGTCTCATAATATATATGATTGATGCCCTGTTCAAAAAAGAAGGAAACTCCAAATGATAAGCATGTAGTTGCTGTAGTAAGACCAAAAATAAAGTCTAATTATAATGGTTGATGCTAATCCTACATATCAATAACTGCTAGATATATTGATCGAAAGAAAAACAATCTCCCACTGATGGAGCAGAGAAACAGAAATAATTATTCAGAAAGCATATATTAAAACAAGCATAACAGATGCAAATCATGAGTAATTATTATCTATAAAACTTCCTTTATCTTTCCAACAAAACCATTTTTTATTTCAAACCCAGCAAACTTCATATCTACAAGCATGAGGGGAAGAAAGAATGTGAATTATAGCAACACACAGGATGATTCAAGACCAGCACGGATTTCAAGTTGTTCTGTCCAGTCATTCCCACCACATTATGTGCCACAGCAGTATAAACATCAATTTTTCATTAATATAAATTGAAAATCATCTTTGTCTCAGCTTTCTTTTGTGGGGAGGGGATTCGAGGCTTTGACCAATGTCAGTCAACTAATATGGCAAGTGAGACAACGAAAAATAACCTTTATTTCCCTTATTTTTTCAGGGCTAGCATTTGCATAGCCGAAGGTCATAGGATGCCACCCTTTATTCTCCATTTTTGTTACAGACTCATTCCACACTGTATAGGTTAATGTTCTCCTTTCAAGTTCACCTTCGAGGCCATGCATCTGAAACAAAAGCACAAGAATAAGAATGGAAATCATGACTTGTAACAAAAATTATGATCAAGATCATTAATGAATAAGTGGAAAAGGAAAAATAGTGTAAATTGACTTGCTTGATGCATTAGATGAACATCTAATATAGAAATGGGAGAAGGAAAAAATTATTCAGCATCTTACCGCAAGCAATGTCTGGACGTAGTGTTCATCTGGGATACAGTTGTGCTGCTTCTGAAGTTTCTGTGCTTACACCAAAATTATCACACATCAATATAAGGAAAATAAATGATAGCACCATAACATTTTCTCTGACTATTCCACAATCTGATCTAGTCTTCATCCATCCAATATGTACCATGCTACTAGGATCTACATAACCTTATTTCTATTGAATTTTTCATGAGATTAGCTATATGTATCTCACAGCAGCAAATGAACAGCTCTTGGGTGAGAACTGAAAAAACAGAGAAATTAAAGCTGAATTCTTTTTTTCTTGTCCCCCCCCCGGGGGTCCAACATTAAAAAATTCAGCAACCAAGTGGTTAATTAAGTTGCAATATGTTTAACCACTTCTCTAATTACTTGTCCCTAAATTTGAAGTCCTTTCCCTTAAATCCCTAATGTGTAAGTCTCCCTAAGTTGTTCATAAATTCTGCTAAAGAATTTCACATATTGCAATATAGAGTTGCTATCACTACAATGTGAAACATATTAACAAGGTTAAATGCACAAATTAAACATCCTTCTTGAAAATTTACATAAACCTGGATACTGAACATTCACAAGGTATGTTAATGGATACTGAACATTCACAAGGTATGTTAATCAAATATAAGATAAAGGAGTCCTATATTTCCAGAAGCCAAATTTTTTTTTTTTTTTGGGTCTCGCTATCAATATTAACCCCATGAATCTCTTAGAAGTTCCATCATATATTAACAAAACTGGCCAGTTTCAATTACTTGCACTAGCAAAAAACACTTATCATGTAAAGCAGGGTAAAGGAAGATTGAAGAGAACACCTAATAAATTTATTAAGCAGGACCTTTTGGTTATCCAAATATTTGGTTGTTGACAGAGCATATAGCGTTATGCAATTCATGAGACCAACCTAGAATATGACTTCTTGTTATTGCAAAAAAAAAAAAAAAAACTTCCAAGTGCATATCTCAGAATTAATCAATTTCAAATAAAGGCAAACGTACTTTTCAATTATTCGTAGATCCTAGATGCCTATGACAGGAATTTTGACCATGCAACAACCCCCCACAAACAAAGAAAAAAAAAATCAACATTAATATAAAGAAAACCAAATTACCACCACTTACAAGATTGAGCTTTCCCTTTCTAGCATCCACTGGTGGGCGTCGCTGCAAAGCAAGAAGAAAATTAAAAGGTTTTGTATTGATAATCATGCAGTGCTTACTTACAGGTTAACCAGTAATGAACAATAATGTATACTAAATACTTTGATTTTGAATTCTCAGATTTTCAGGGTAACATGAGTTTCATATAATATCAAATTTAACCAACGTTAGGAAAAATGGTAAGTGTAAACAAGAATTTATCCAACTATAGATTAACTTAATACCTTGCAATATTTTTTAAAAACTGGAAAGACAACTTCATCGTCTGCAATCACTGCTGCATGGCTACGAATCAAAGTGATCCACTGGAATTCCAAAATAATTTCCCATTAATGCATAATTCTAGAAAGACATGGCCACAACTGTCATTCTCTGTACTGAATCAAAATTCAAAATTGATTTGATATGTACAAATGAATTCGTAGCTAAAAAGTATCCTGGTTTTCAAATTGGAAATATTGGTTCCTTCATGCTGTGAGTAAAGCCTTCAGATTATACAAGGCTAGTAATGAGAGTCAAGTTCTATAGAATAACAGTGGCTTGATTTTCAATCAAGCGTGGAGTAGCATTTTTTTTCCTCCAGTGAACTTGGAAAAAATATGACATGCTTGCCTCTGTATATGAACAATTAGAATATCTGAGTTTTGTTATTGTTTAGAGTTTTTTCCCCTGGTCCCTCATCTATCACTGCATCACTCCTCAAATAATATCATGGAAAGTTATTTGTTCGCAAGATCATGTAAAGTATACCTAACCCACTGGCTGTAACAGACCGCAAAGCAAAAATTCTACAAAATGCAACTCAGGCGGCAAAGAAATCCGAGCAACAGACAACAAATTTCTTTTAAAGGTCATGGATTCTCTTAAAGAAAAAGAAGATATATGCTGCAAAAATACATTTTAGCTAGGACAAATAACCTGGGACCCTTTACGCCATCTTTCTCTTGGTATTTTAGGTGACATTTTGGGGTTGTAGCGGCCCTCCTTCACATCGAGGAAGCTGCAATACAAACAAACGACTAAGTTGCAGCTCCAAACCTTCTGCATTACACAAAAGGGTAAGAAATTGCATTATGAAGTCATTTTGATACACCCGGTCTACAATGAATTAGTGCTAAGCACCTCCAGAGTCAAAGTCGTCTTCTACCTGTCCACGAAACTCCTTGGTGAACCCATGACATAGTTGTACACATAGTTAAAGTTGTACAGAGGGGCACAACTGCACATAGGAAACAGGAAACGAAGAGAGAGTAAGTTCGCACACATATATCCCCGGCCCCAACCCCTCCTCTTTCTTAGAAAAAGAATTGAAACAGTAAGCTAAGGAGGTGAAATCAAGAAAAGCTTAAATCCTAATGGAAATCTATGTCATAAATTTATAACATGGAGAAAGTAATATGACAACTAGTCCTGAATAAACACAGAGGTGAATATTAAATGTTGTATTTCAGGCGGCGCATAACTCGAAATTCAATCGAGCTCACATAAACCAAACATTTACGGTAGCGTTTGGCGGTAGAGATGAAAAAAACCTCATGCATGCATGGAATCGACATCAACACCAACCTATCAGAGAGAAGAACAAATCTTTGATTTGCGGGGTCTTCCAAAGCCGCATCCAGTAACAACCTTTCAGCCTGAATCATACTCGATTCGCCCCATAAAACCTAAAATATGCAACGCCAAATAAGTAAATTCTTAATTCAACTTAAAAAATAATAATATTAACATGAAACACCCGGCCATAAACTGATTTCATTTTTCCTTTTCCTTGGTTTCCCTTGAAGAGCCTTCCAACCTTCACCATTGTTTCGGAGAACAAACTTTTTGGTTGAGCTGTTTTTTTGTTAAACTACTTTCTCAGCAAAATAATCACTTCACCTGAATGCTGTTACTCAATTGTCGACCGTAAAAGTAGTGTGACCTCGTGGTAGATTCATCGAACACAAACCCAGGCGCCGAATGGACATAAATGGAGAAATTAGCGACGTCACCGTTCTGCAAACACAGAAAAAGCCGAAATAAGAACACCACAAAACCCGAACACTTCTTCAATAAAACGCAATCGCAGCAAACCTCGAAGAAGGTTGCCCAGAGAAAATCGAGAGGGAGTTCGCGGCGGGCGAGGAACATAAAGGCGATCTTGGGAGGGCCATCGAAGGTCTCAAGAGAAATTCGGGACCTCCTCCGAGAAGAAGGAGTGGACAGTTCCGATTGGGAATGAAGCTTGAAGAAAGCGAAGGCGCAGAGGGAAAGACAGACGCAGAAGAGTATCAAAAGCTTGAAGCTAAACCGGGTAGCTTGGCGTCTCGCTAGTGGAGGCGCCTTCTTCGTCATGCCTAACCCTGCTATTCCCAAAATGAGGAAGTTGAATTGGATGCGAGAAGAGTTCGACAAGCATTTCAAAATCAAATTGCTGATCACCATTACCGTTGTTGGGAGAAAAAGGGTGGCTGTGCCTGTGCAGGTAGGCAGTGAACTCCCAAGCTGAAGGCTTTCAAGATTCTTCAGCAAACAGGTCAATACGTCGTCGACGGAAATCTCGTGAACCTACCGAGCTCGAGGCGATGGTCATGGTATACAGGTACGCAAAATACCCGCGTCGCCGATGTGGAAACAGAAATAAAAGACAAACAAAGTCTCACTTTATTTGTGTCGGCCAAATTATTTTTTATTTATTTTTTAAAATAATTTTTATAATAATAATAATTTAACTAATATATTCTTCCGATCTCAAATATAAGACCATTATATACTTATATAAGGGTCTTATATTTAGAAGTATAAAAGGGTCTTATATTTAGAACAGAAGGAATACTTGATTAGTAAAAATATTTTTAAAAAATAATACTTATTTATTACAAATAACTGATTTAACTAATTTTTTAATTTATTTAAAGTAACCGTCTAGTTCTTATATTAAAGGGAAAATGGCAATTAGGTCTCACTTAAGGAAATTAAATATAAAAAAGTCTCTTGAAATCATAAAATTATTTTAAAGTCTCAAAAAAAATTTTGTATTAAATTTTATTTGTTTACTAACCAAATTACCCTTTTTTTTTAAAAGTTTGTATTGGCAATTGAAAGAGCAGTGGTTGACAACTCAGGGTGCAAGGATTGACAACTATCGCGGCTGGTTTGACAACTTATGGTATGATATCCTTGCACTTTGAGTTGTCAACCACTGCTCTTGCAGTTGTCAATACAAAGTTTAAAAAAGAAGAAGAGTAATTTGGTAATTAAACAAATAAAATTTATTACAAAAAGGTCCCTTGGGATTTCAGAATAATTTTATGATTTCAAGGGATCTTTTTGTATTTAGTTCCCTTGAGTAGGGCCTAATTGCAATTCTCCTTATATTAAAAATAAGAGATAGTATCATTTAATTTTTTTAGGAAAAAATAATTGATGAAATTTTCTTCCATGATACTCCCCGGTCCTTAATATTTTAACTAATTTGATTAGATTAAAAAAGTTATATAAGTTAAGTTAATTATAAGAAAAGTGACACATTTTTCTCAAAACACTATAATCATCTTTTTTAATATCTCTTTTTCCTCTTCTACCTCTTCTACTTGATGATGGTTAAGAAAATATCATAAAAATAATTTAAAAAAAATTAATAAATATAAAAAATGGGTTTTATATTCAGAACCAAAACCGAAAATCCTATGTTAAGCAGCGGATGGGCATTAACGATCATAAACAGAAACACAACTTCTTTTTTTAGCAGGCTAGGAGCTCCAATCTCTCTCGATATGAATTGCACGGAACTAAAAGTTGACAAGGATGGATTCAACAAAGAAACACCCACAATTTGGTCTGGGAATGAAGAATGATTTACTTTATCAGAATAGGCATTATGTGAACTACAATGGACAAGTACTGTAACTGAAGATTCAGAATCAACGTCTTATTTCATGACAGAAGAAGCAAAACAAAAAAAAAAAAAAGAAAAGGAAAATGATGAAAATTCCGAAGTCGTCTCCGCCTAATTTCTAAAGCAGAAGCGGGTGCCGCCATCAACCAAACTCCGAAGCTGAAGGATTTCGCGAATCTTAGCCAATCTTGTCAATATGTCGTCGTCGCAAGTCCCACCGGTACCGAGCTGGCGAGCTCAATGGCGTCAGGAGCGCAGGGTGGAAGGCGGAAGGGGACACGTGTTTCTAAAGCACGGATAGTGGGACCTAATAGTACTTGGCAATACTTGTCATTCATGGATGGGAAGAAGTAAAAGCCCAACAAAGCTTCCCTTTTATTATTATTATTATTATGGCTCTGCAACATCACTTTTAAACCAGTTCCTTTAAAACCTTTTTATGCACTCTTCGTTCCAAAGTGTGAATCAATAACCTCTGATTCACATGGCCATGTGTGAAAGTGTCCATTTTTGTCGGCGAGCACTTTCGGCGTCTCACATGTATGGATCTGGAATCAATAACAATTGACATTCGACCTTCATTGCATCAACCAAAGAAGAGGGGGGGGGGGGGACAACAGAAAAACAAAGAGAAACAAGAAGTCTGAAAATTCAGTGCCAGTATTCAGGTGAAACAATATCTTTTTAGTTCACCAAAAAAAATATTTTTTATTTTAATTATTTCACTGGGATGGTTGGGAAACCCCATAATTATTTTAAAAGGAAAAAACTTTGATAAAATTTGCTCATTATGCACTTATCATGTGCCACATTAAATCACTCAAAATAAAATTATCTAAATACACATATAAGTCAAGTTTCAATATTGTCTGAATCCTCTAGCATATTTTTTTAAACCTTGACGGTAATATCAAGTCTTTACCAATTAACCCAATTAAACGGAAATTCTTGTCACTTTTTAACCAATGATTACATGGCCGGACCGCTCCAAATTCTCTGGGCCCCCAAGAAGATCTGGGCTGTTGACCGACCTCACCTAAGTGGTCGCATTTGCCCTTATTATGAAATTTAGGATCCGTTAAGACCGGTAACTGTGTTTTTCACATGGAGGGGGGGGGATCATCGGTACATAATACAACAACACATCATCGGCTCCGGAGTGCCCTCTGCATCTGACATGATATTTACAGGAAATAGCTTAAACACGCTTGTAGAATCCACCATATAAACTCCGAAGCACGTGTTGTCACTCTTCTGCTCTAACTCCTACGCCTCTTATCTGGCTGGCCTTCGCTGTCTTGCCCATTAAAGCTTTCATTTTTTCAAAGCCAAATTCAGCCTTCTTTGGGGAGTTCCCAGCTTGGCCATCATGATGAGGACTGAAGTTGGCTATTGCTACTTGCTTCCAGTAAAACTTTTGCATCAGACAGCACAAAACTAACTACTATACGCCCACCTTGGTTTTTTGACGGTCCAAAACAACATTCAAGATCTTGCCAGGAACGTAAATTCTCTTTTTCACAGGGTTACCATGCAAAAACTTGGATAGTTTTTCATCCCTGCATGCCAATTCAAAGGCATCCTCCTCTGTACATGTTTCTTCAACCTGGATGGTACCCCTCGTCTTACCGTTGATCTGAACAGGGAGGACTATCGTGGAATCTTTCAAGTAAGCAGGATTTGCCTGCAATAACATGAGCGGCGTGGCCACAAATGGCTATCAATCAAATATGATACCCAAAAACAAAAATAAATTAAGGTCCAGTATGAAGACTGAACCTTAAAATATCCACTTAGCTTGACAAATTTGAAAGGAAAATTTAATTGAGAGAAGTGCATGGAAAAAAAAATTACAAAAAAAGTGTATTATTCACTTTTTGGGAGTTCATAAATTGTGACATATAATGAAAAAGCAGACGAGAACTAACATAATAAGCAATGAAAGACCGGTTTGATTTGGACACCAATTTCATACCTTAGGGAAAGGCTCATACGCTAGGGAATTTGCGTGTCCTAGCCGTGACCAAAGCTCCTCAGCTATATGCGGTGCATAAGGTGAAAGCAGCAAAACAAATGCCTCAATGACTGATCTCGGATGTTTATCCCACTGAAAATATAGGCAAGAAAAACTTCATATAATCTTAATGAGTCCCAAAAAGATGTCGTAGTCAAATACCACAGTGGGGAAGGTAATGGAAAGGAAATGGAGACAGAAGGAAGTGAAAGGAACCCTTTGCCAACCAATAATAAGAAAGCAGCATGAACATAATGAGGGACAACACAGGCATTGATTGTAATCCATGTAGTTATCCTCGCTTAGTGAAATAAGGCTTATTGTTATTGCAATAATGAACCTATGAAACTATTTACCACGCCATGAATCAACACCAAACAAGCTCTGATTCCAAGACTTTATTCCATTCAATGAAAGAAAAACTACTCATCTGTCTGTGTATTTTTAGTTACCCTTCTTTTCAAGTGAGATCAAAAACATAAATAACAAAACTAGAAACTAGGTCTAAAACACCCGACCTTAATACCCCTCTCTGCTGCCAGAACAATGTAAAAAAATGATCCAATCAAAATGTTGAGAAAGTCAGAAAGATATCAAAGAAAATAACTTGAAAATAAGATACCTTATAGGCCACATTCAAGAACTCCATCATTGCTGAAATTCCTGTGTTGAATCGTGTGCCCTCAATTTCCTCTGTTACCTGCGCGCTGAAATTGAACTCTTAGGCCAAATGTCCTAATTGAATTGGTAAATTGCATATTAAGATGTTGACCTTAGCAATGCATTTATGAAGAGATCGAAGTTGTTCCACAGTAGGCTCCTCATCAACTGCTAAAGTTCCATCCTTGAATGTGCCATTAGTCAAAGGAGAGCCAACAATGAGCCTCCATGTTCGTCCCAAGAATCTATGTACACCTTCAATACCGCTTGTACTCCAAGTTTTTGAGTCTCTTGGGGAAGGTTAAAGAAAGAAACAATAGGAAGAATGATATCAGATTAAAAAAAGAAGAGAAGGATCGCTTTAACTCAAGACTCAATCTCATATCATTCCAACGTCACAAGTAAAATTATATGGTCAACTCACCTTAATGGGCCCATGAACATTTCATATAAGCGGAGAGAATCTGCACCATACTCAGAAACAACATCATCAGGATTAATTACGTTTCCCCTACTTTTGCTCATTTTATATGCACGAGCAATTAAACGTATGTGAGGGTTATCTTTCAAGACAAAAGAATCGCCAGATTTCATGACCTGCGTCAGCAGAAAACATACACATGTCAAAATAAATAATTTTTGGGCTTATTACTACAGCAACGTTTATTGAGATAACCATTAAGATGGAACACCAAAACCAGTGCGAGAAACCTTTTCCTCAGGAACTTTTTCTAAATTATTTTCACCCAATGATGGATCAGCAGATATCAAATTCCCATCTTCATCCCTGCAAGCCATATATTGAACCTGCCAATCAAGCCATCAGAAACTAGTGATAATGAAATTTTTTCCCTCTTGTTTTCAAACAGAAATAGCCGTACTTCACCGAGGATAAGCCCCTGATTTATAACACATTGGAAGGGTTCCTTGGTGGATACAACACCAATGTCATGGAGAACCTGAAATAGAATATTGAATCAAATCAGCACATATTGCAGCAGCGTAGAATACTTTAAAGAGTACTAGATACCTTATCTTACTCGTTTATTTCATCTCAGG